CTTTTTTTTGAAAGAGAAGAGGTTTAATGCTCAATAAGTTGACAATTGTGTTTCTAGTTTTCATACTAACAGTAAATCTTCAATTTTGTTTCACACCCCCTCCAATATAGAACAGTAACAGTTTACCCACAGAAACAACGATATTGTCGAAATATACTAGAAGTAGATAATACTCACTTCTCTGAAAGTCATGAAGCCCATGGGTCCTAAAGTAAATTCCGTTTTCAAGTTACTTTAAATACATGGACAAAGACAATATCGAAATTGTAATTTCAGTGTCTGAAATATATCAGAAATAAACGTATCCGATATAGAAAACTGCAATACTCCTGGCTAGCTACATTGTGAAATAATCAGATGAATAATGACACTAAACAATTTTAAAATATGTTCACTAAAATTTTATTAATGTAAAAATAAAGATTTTGGCAAGTAGTTATCGAATTTAATGTAAAATCTAAACGTTTTTAAGAAAAGATATTAATTATTTTTAAAATAAATTAACGCAACTATTTTATTTATACTCCCAGATTTAGGATATAAAATCCCCTCTAACAAAAAACTTAAATTGGGTAACGCCGCTTCGAATTTTTTACAATTGAGCAATTGTCAAAAAACTCCTTTTTAATCAAAAAGTTGTTTACTGGAACTACCTTCTTTTTTGTATCATGGTTGGGATCAAGACTAATATTTCGCTGGATTGCTACATGCCGTTATTTTGAAATTAAAAAGATACTGAGTTTGCGCGACCTCTATCGATTATCTCGTACAAAGCTCGTAATCTAAACAAAACTCGCGATACAGTGGCAACGCCATCATCTGTGGTTTGTTTACTTATCTTTCCTACCTGCTGAACAGCTGTTTACTTGTGACAGCTGCAGTTATAATTTTTTTAAAGACTTTTTGTTGATAGATGCATTATCTTATATTGTGCATTATTCTCTTTTAAATTACAAACGAAAACCTGCGAGTGATTTTTAATCATTTTTTTACAATTAACTGTCACAACTACAACTTTAACTATGACCAGTATAATGGTGCTTTTTGCGCTCATCTTGGGTAAGTGCTTATATGGTATTTCCTTAAGTGCAATCGAATTAAGTCCTCGTTCCGTTATCCTTAGCTGCTTGCCATGGCACATCCACGGCTGAGATGCCTGCATTCAAAACTATTTTCAAATTCTTTGGCGGTGGCAACGGCGCCGAATACGTCATCAATGGCACCCGCTCAAGAGATATCTCGCAGATGACAGCCGAGGAGTTGGGTATTTCACGCGGACAATGCCACTACGATTTTCTATCGTACATAACTTACAGTGACCGCATATATTGCGTACCTGATGATCGCTATATATTACATCTCTTGCCATCTAACGGTGGTGAGGGCATACGCAAGCCACCGATAATGGTGCGTTGCATGCAGCCAGAGCGGCCGGAGAACGCTACACGCAACGATAATACGCTAGTCATAATGCAGAGCGTTAAAGATATAGTTGCACTGCTGAAGCCAGTGGGTAACGCAACTAAACGTCACGAGCCTGGCAGTTGTGTCATTGTGCTCTTCTATACCGAGTCGAGCCTCGGCTGCGCACATGTTGCACCCTATGCCAATATGTTGCCCGCACTATTTCCCACACTACGTTTTGCTGCTATTGATGCATTCAAATTTCCCAGCTTTAATACGGAATTCGGCATTGTCGGACTGCCAACACTATTGCTATTCCATCAGGGTCGACCGATTGTAAAGTTCTACAGTGATGTGGGCACTTTTCATGCATTCGTTACGCGGCATACGGGCATCAAGCATGTTGAGCCAATGCCCAAAGAGTCTGAATTCACTGGACCATTACCAGTGCAGCCAGTACCGGAAGTCGACTATGTGCTCATACTTGCGTGGACTTTCATCTTGGTGTGCTTGGGCAATTACTTCGCCAAATCCCATTTGTGCAAACAAATTGTTGAGATGATTAAAAGAAATTGGCGTGAATCAGAGGCACGTATGGAACGAAATTAAAACAGGACATGATAGGTTAAGTTTTAAATTATCGATTCTCACTATTATTAATTGCAAAATAATTTAATTAATAAACCAAAAAAAAAGTGAGCGTCTCGTTTACTTTAAAGCTGCTCCCTTGTAGGGAAATGTTTTCTCGCGTTAGAGGGCCTGATTATTAACGTCGGTTGCGCACATTTAACATTACAATCTACTGAGAAGCAGCTCGTCCAAAAGCCCTTCTGAAAGGCCTTCTATGGTAACGAAAGCAGAAGGCTTTAAATTTGTGCCACTCCATACAAAAAAGAAAGAAGAAAGGAATGTAGAGAAGAAGGCCTCATGACTCTCCAGAAGGCCTTTTAGCTCCTGAAATTATCTCTTGGGTAAGGAACAAATGCGGAACACCGTCAACAAAAAAATTGCCAAAAATCGACGATAAGTCCTAGCTACTTCAAATTTGCACTTTGTTATGCTACAATTTACTGGTCTACAAAACTGCATACCAATAAAAAATTATAAATTTTCAGAGTTCTTGCACAAAGTCTGAAATTTGGATGTATATGGTGTTTGTTAAATAATCAGCTCTAATTTCATAAGAAATAAACATTAGATAAACTAAAGAAAAACAGCCAAATATTGCTAAAATGCCGAGTCCGAGTTATTATTTGGTTCACTTTATGTGCATACTTACGCTTCCACTATATGCAACGCTTCTGTTCGAAAATCAATTAAACACCGGAGATGCGTTGATGGTACTTTTTATTTTATTATGTTTGGATTTTTTGTATCTTCTCTATATCGCAAAAGTTTATATATATGTATGTATGTATATGTTTACTATCTCAACAATTAAAAAAAAAACAAATATTGAAAAAGAAACGATTGAAACTGAAGATCTTTATGACAAAATAACAGTTCAATAAAATCAGGATTCAATAACATGTATTGAACCATGTAAAATAAAATCACTGAATTTTTACTAAAATTGAAATGCTAATGTCGCAATGTCAGGATAGCAATCAGCTTAAATTTAAATTCCGAATCGATTTGCTCAGCATTGTCCTACTCAGTTAAGGCCAGTTTTTCAGTGCCAGTATAAACTTGGATCACGTAAACTTCGTTTATATTTAATAGCCGGCGGACATTTGATTGGTTAATATTAGTTTAAACAACAGTCAGATTTAAAAGTGCACTGAAAAAATCACATTGAAGGGTAAATTTATTTTTACGAGAAATATGTTGTTTCCGTGTACGCTTGGTATTCTGGGTTTTGGTATAACATAGAACATCCAAAGGTTAATCAAGTCAACTCAATAACTCAACACTGATAAACTTGCACATTCATGCTTCTGGCATAAGGGTGACGATATGTAGCTTCTTCTGCATAAATTTCGACTCGAAATTTAACTTTCCATAATCTATGTATTTCTGATGCAAAATAAGCTATATAACATAAATAAAAGTTTACTTTTAATAAAAATATACCTTGTTTCAGAAAATTAAATTAAAAAATTAAAGAAGTAATCAAAATTGTTATATTCAGTGCATTTAACATATTAAGATAAAAATGTTGTTTTACAGAATGTTTTATTCATTATTTTTTTTTTCTTCTGCGCTCTGCTTCTTCGGCTAAACTCTATGCATCCTTCTGTTACATACATAACCTCAATTTAAAACTATATATTTTTTGTTTACGCTAGAATTTGAAATTTGGAACTCGATTTGCTACCATACAAACAGCTTATTTTAATGTAAAGTATATACTTTTCATATATTTCCCCAGATTGAGTGCAAAAATTTATAAATTGCTGAAAATTTAAAATTTTTCAAGTTACACACATTTTCAAAAACACCAAAAATTGACATTTTTCTAGTTGTAACAATTGAAATAGCGATTGAAGTGCAAAGCAAAGGGCGCATACGCACTCATGAACTTATATTTAAACGTTGCTTATGCTACAATTTATGCTGCTTGCGGTCGATATTAGCTGAAAAAGCATACTTTTAGCGCGGAAAAAGTTTACAAAGCGTCGTCTATTTAGCATTTAGCATTTTGATTTTTTTTTTTTAACTCGCAGTGGTTATTGCAGTCAAAAACGCATGAAATATATTTTCAATAGGACTTAGTGTTTTTTTTTTCATTTGATTGCAAAAAATTCACAAATACACTTCATAATTAATACATAGCTAAAGTTTAGAATTTATATTATCTTGAAATCAATTAACATTTTCTTTCTAAAATGTGTAATTTGTATTAGAATCGTATATAGTTGAGCAGCAGCTACGCTATACCAGCCAAGCTTGAGAGACTCATTGTTGCAAATTCAATCATACAAATAATTCGATTTTTCTTTTTCAATAGGTCTCCCCTACATATTTTGCTTTCATAAATCATCAACTTCTTTAGAATGCGCATTGTGCGAATAGCAGAAAAACACACATCTCAAAATTCGCTTATTTATAGGCGCACGCACGCAGCAGCATTAAAGTGTAGTAATTATTAATACAGTACTTATTACATAGAAATGATGTGTCGCGAAAATATAATTTTAAGATTGTTTCTTTCTCTTCTGTTTTACTATGTTATTTTTTGTTTTGCCCGGTTTGCTTACAATTCTAAAAAATACGCTTGAACTCCTCATTACGGTTTGGCTCCTTTTCTTCCCCTGATGGTTTCCAACTACCACATAACTAAGAATTTTTGCAGCTCAAAATCTTCATCAAAAAATAACTACAACTCCGTACGCCAACAGCAATATCAAATCAATCTATCACGCGCAAAATGTATACATATTTAAATTTGTTTAATGGTTTTAATGATTCGATCTGTGTGATTTTGTAGCTGCTGTTTTATTAGCTGCAGCTGTGGCTGCTGGATTAATGACTGTTGCTGTTGCGTGATCTGATGCTACTGCAGCTGGTGCTGCTGCTGCATCATCATCCTCCTCCTCCACGGTTACTGTTGGTGCTGCTGTCTGCTGCTCCACCTCATCATCCTCATCGTCGTCGATTATCTCAGTAATGGTTAGCGCTTGTGGTTGATGTGGCTGCTGATGTTGTTTGGTATGTTTGGAGCGATAATTACGGCGTGCGGCCGAAGCATTATAGGGATGGGGATGTACGCTGTAAAAATTCGAATAGAAGTTATAGAAATTAACAATGGCAAATCGAAAAGAAATGCATGCTTAAAAGTTAAAAGCGAACGTATAAAAAAACTAATAAGAAAACAAATTAGAATAGAAAAATTTTAATAATAAGTGGACGCGCAAATAGGTAAGGGGAAATAAAAATACGACATAAACATATTGATATATGAGCGTATGTAATTGCGGAGCGTAATAAGGGCCGTGCGGGCAGGTTGGCAAGCAAATGGGTTGTAGATAAATATATAATTTTCATACGATAACATGATTGGGGTTTATTTGGTTTCTAATAAGCAGCAAGCCTATGCTCCAAATGGTACAAATATATGTGTACATATGTGCTATCCATTTACGAAGTAGCACTCGAATCGTAACTTTGTGAAAATAATATGCAAGTAAATCCGTATATTTTTCAGCCTATGGTTCCTTACGAAAGCAAATTTGTGAATATTATATACAAAACAAATCAAAATAATGAAATTTTAGCTTACTAAAAGCCCCAATACGAAATTAATGGTAGAGTAATTTTCCTTAGTGTCATCATTCCCTTAAGCTTAAATAGCTGTATTTTTAATTTCGTATAACCTAAACGACTTTAATATTTAGCTACTCCAAAAATGTTACTTAAAAAGTACTCTTTGACGTTTAGTGGGTGTTAAAATACTTAAAAGCTTGAAATTCTTTGAAAACATTTGACCCTAAAACACGTATTGAGATAACATTTTTTTGATCCGTCAAATTACTGTGAAAATATTTCGTGGTTAAATAAACATATGAAAAACTTCAGACACAAAAATAATTATAACGCCGTGCGTAAATGCTACCACCCAACAATCCAGCACCAACAGGTCCTTTTACGAGTATTTAACAAATTATGTTAAAGCTTAATTTGGCATAAATAAGGCTTACTTATAGCTGAAGCCGCTGGAACTAGTCGGCTAGACTTCGATTATAATCGCTTAAAGCTGCAGCAGTTGTTATTTCGTAGACTGTAATGTATCGCAGTTCCAGAGCCACAACTCTATTTCGGCTAATTATTTCTTTTTTGGGGGGTCCATTCATCCGTCGACATTTTCTTCCACTTTGCGTTACTATGTAGGGCGGTGCAGCAGCTTGTATTTACAAACATAATTAAGCAGAAAAATAAGCACAGCAGCAAAGGCTGATCGAAACATATGTGTTTATATTAACGACGATAAAAATTAAGCAGCATTAAGTTTAAATATCCTGAAGGCGGAATGAACATATTTACAGCTTCACTTTGAAAATAAAAAACAGTGGACAAATGCTTGGCAAGCAACATTTCGGCAAGCTCTCGGCAGCAGTAAAACTGTGTTCTTACGCATTAAACCGCAAGCTGAATGTGAGTGGACACGTTGAGGTTTTTGAGTTTTTGGAAAATGCGGCTTGCTCAAGTTAAAAATCTGTGTCGTCCTGACTGTCGTGGAAACATCCATAGCTAAAGTGTGTGTTATTGATGTTATGAGAAACAGTCTGCTAAAGGGTTTGGCAGTAGTCAATCAAGTTGAGTGTAGTAAGAGAATTTGAAAATTTTAAATGTTCGACATCATCGAATATAATTCACAGCTTGTTTGTTTTAAAACAATGATCGGCATTATGTTTGCTAAAGTAGCGTTTTTAGCCATAACCATATAGGTACATACATTTGCGTTTCCAAGTCGGCTTAGATTACAAACAGCGATGCATTCAAGTGGCAAGACTTGAATGCATTTTTATGTCTTCCTTTTATGCATGTCACACAAACATATGTATGTAAGCTGTGTATACTGCTGGATTCCAAGTTCATTTCTGTTGACGCAATTCAGTCAAAAAGTGTGCAGAGCATTCATCTCGTGGCTTTTTTTGATTTTTTATCTTTTGCAGTACACTTATTTAAAAAAAAAATCAGTAGTTTGTTTAGCTAGGTTTATGTATATCTATTTGTATCTTATTCTGCTAAAACTTCGTACGCTAGACTCGGTTTTTCGCTTTTATTCCAATATATTTACATTTTTCATCGTTTTTTTCGTTTTTTTTAATTCGCATTTATTCCAATATATTTACATTTTTCATCGTTTTTTTCGTTTATTTTTTTTTTTGTTGATATCCGTCGCCTTCAGTTTGAATATCCATAAATTTATTAAATAACTGCGCTGTATTTACAAATTGTTTGCGATGTTCATTGCAGTTTTTATCGTTTATGTAGTTGGGTTGTTGTTTCATAATTTATTTATTTTGTGCGATAAAAACGTGGATTATACAAACGCCAATCTCTGTCGAGTGAAAACTTATTGTGAATTTTATGTTTTTTTTTTCTGGAATATTTGTAGTTGAGAAATGTACACACATACATTCATAGATAAGGCAAGAGGCAAATAAATATTTGGTACGGCGAGAAGAGGGATAATGATACGATTTTTTGAGGGATGATTTTGTTAGGAATGATCTTAAGCATGTTCGTATGGATTAAAACAAAAACAAAGTTAATTATAATCATGAGGAATAAATAAATAAATAATGGGCCGAATGAATAAAAACAAAGCAATTGCTTTTTCTTAAAATAGCATACCTTTACTTCAATTTTGTTTGAATAAATCGAGTAATGAGTAAGAAATTTTAAGAAAAAGCAATTGCTTTTTTTTTATTCATACGGCCTAATGAAGAATTTCCAAAGCAAATATTTTGGCTATTTACAGTTAGAAGTTTTAAAATTGAATTAAATAGTTACTTATGATTAAATAGTGGTATTCACCAAAAAGAGCAAGTGGCCTGGCACTCTGGCAAAAGAGCAGATGAGCTCAAGCAACGACTGTTGACATCAGTCGTTGCTTTAGCTGATCTGCCCTTTTGCCAGACGTACAGGCAACTTGCTCACTTTGGTGAATACCACTAATGTGTTAATGATGAGTAACAGGGTTAGGTAGTCACGGAATGATCGAAAAAATAAAAATCAAAATGATTATAAATTGGATTTCTTTAGCGGATGCCCTGAGCCCTGTTAGACAGACGTTGAGTGGTGCAGCATAGACGAGGGACCACAAAACAGGTGGCTGTATGGCCTTAGAGCATAATAAAGTTAATACTGTAACGGATATAATGGCGGATGCCTTTTAACTATAGCTGCCCCGAGACCCAACCAAGAGTGAAAGGTAAAACAGTGTGGTGATCTTACGAACAGTCATCCCTTCTTCGGAAAGACGCGCGCAGGCTGTTCAATAAGACCAAGCGCACGGGATGCTGGACAGAGTATGCGTCTAGTCTATCCAAATACAGCAAAGAGATTAGGAAGGCGAAGAGGGAAAGTTTCAGAAATAAGCGTATTTTTTCTTCAATTTTTTTACGAGTCTTTTTTCGCCGTCGAAATACTAGCGCGCCTTATTTGTGTCTAATGCCGATAGGTTTTAACTCAACAACGCCCTATCACAGCACATTTTCAATGTATTCTCAGCTGATAGGATGTTTTTGAACCGTATTCTGAGACAGGACGTTCTTCAACCAAATTTTGAGATAGGGCGTTTTTCAATAAAATTCTGAAATAGGGCGTTCTTTCAATCAAATTTTGAAGTAGAGCGCTCTTGAAAAGTTTTCTGAGATAGCGCGTTTTCGAACTGGCTGCCGAGATAGGCCGATCTTCCACTCAGGTGACGAGATGGAGAAAAGAAGAAATCGCTTTCAAAAATTAATTTAAACTTACACTAGCAAGCTGAATTTTTGCTGAATGGGCTGTCAAACAAATGTAGTTTGTGAAATAATAAAAAAGGAAAAGAAAGAATCAAATATAGCTTTTCTGTAATTAAAGAGTATTTTACTTTCGAAAATCACTTTACATGTAAGGACTTTTTGAAACTGCTTTTATTGCCATGTCTGACTGCAGCTTTTTGAATTTCACTACTACTTCACGACCAATTTTAGTGATTATGTGATGAAATATGATTTATGGAAATTAAAATAAAGTATATTTTCGCAAAAAACAAAATAATCAAGCTTAAAATTGTATAAATTTATTACAAAAAAAAAATATGAAAAGTAGCACATACTGAGTTTAGAAAACGAATAATGATGTTAAAGGAATATATCGCTAGCTTGGAGTTGGAAAAGTTGCTAAATTCACTTTTTGTAAAGAAAACTTTGCACTCTACGCTAGCGATATGTATTAAAAATGTAAATTTTTGATTTTTAAAATTAATTTTAGTTACAAAATTTTGGTTTTTACAAGATAATAACCATAAAAGGATTACAACCATTAAAATTAAAAAAAAAAAATCTTTTTAACAAACAAAAATAAAATTTTTTTAATTGAAAAAGTAAAAATTCACGGAAACGGCGAAGAGCAGTTTTTTCAAATTGGACATCGTTTCCTAAACGCCACACCAACTCTTTGTTTTCCCCTAAATTAACCCGTGTAACTCAGAGTATAAGCCAAGTACGAATATAAAAATTACAAACGCAAGTCGTCGAATGAAGCAATTTAAACCGCAGATTTCGCTAAATTCAAAATTTACAACGATTCGCCGTAAGAATAAATTAACAGAATAGATAACGTATAACGAAGAAGGTCTGTGACGTGGGAAAAATGTCGCAATAAATTAACAAGCGCGTAGTGTAGAGTTCATTTTAGTATAGTAGTCTTTGGAGACTTGCAATTTCATGACTAACTGTTGATCGAGTGTGGGGGAGGTAGCGTGCGCTGCGAGGAGTGGCAAATTTTTATACTTTTCGCTTTTTTTTCATAATTGAGCTACGCTTGTTTAGGATTTTTGATTGCTGTTCTGTTTCTATTTTTTTTTTGTTGCTTATCTATTTGTTTCTTGTAATATTGTGACACAAACCTTGTCGTTGCCGCTGAGCTGTTATGATAATTGGTCGGCGTGGTGGCAAGTGGCGATGATAGTGGCGTACGCAATGGACGGCGAGCTGTAATGCCACGGTGATGGTGATGATAACCGCCAGCAGCTGGGGAGCGACGTGTAGCATTCGATGTCAAGTAGCTATTGTTGTTATTGCTATTGCTGTTTGTAGTAGCTTTTTCGCGCTTCGTAGACAAAGTGTCGTTGCTGTTGCTGTGATTGGTAGTGGTGTTGTTTTTGTTGCTGTTGTTCGAATTGGTTGTGGAGTTCAACGAATCAACCGATGACGAATTGGACAACGGAGAGCTGTGTTTGGAACGAAGTGCGAAAGGCGAAGAAAATTGAAGTTGAATACAATTTTTTGTTTGTTGCTTTTGTAGCGTAATTAATTTATATAAATATACTGTTGCTGATTCGTGGTGGTGATGTACTGATTGATTTTGTTAAGAAGTTTGTGGAAATGCGCAGAGTGATGAGCGATTTTCGTTTTTTTTTTGCATTTTCATTTTCTTTTTTTTTCAGGTGGTGGTCAAAGGTAAATGACTTGTGTGTGAGGTAAGCGCGAGACGATATTTTATAAGCTAAATTTGATTTTTAGTAGAAAATATTATTTTGTGGGAAACTTAGTATAGGTAATATTTAAGAGGTCAGTGTTGTGAAATAAACAGCTTCGGCTTTTAAAAAAGATGTCTCACTGCGTCGTTGTTTTGCTGAATATCGGTCTTGTGGTAAGCTCAAGTAAGTCATCGATAATTTGAAATGGACCTAGGAGCATCTAAATACTGTCTTCTTTTACTAAGGCAGTGACGAACGGAGCGAGTTTTTATTCTGCTTAAAAAAACTATGTGTTAGTCGATAGGCACTAGGTGTCTGTTAAGAAATACCGCACTAAGGGATTTGCATGACAAATTGTATGTATATGAATTTGTTCTGCTCCAAAAAATATGCTAAATTCTGGGTACGTCCAAAATGTTTGAACGTTATGTGTATTTCCTTAAGTTATTTGTTATTTTCCGGCCTAATAACAATTTGTTAAACAATTTTTATTTAGCTTGAGGTCGTTTTTAATGAAAAATATTGTCGAAAAATTATACAAATTTTTGAATATTTTCTTTAACGTAAATCTTGATAAACCCAAACTCGAAAATATTTATATCTGTGGGCATTTGACAAAACAACTTAAGTCACTGACATACAAAATAGCATATGTCGACAAAACATATTTTACCATCAAAGAGAAAAATGTTGCAATTCGACGGAAAGAAATGTTAAATTATTTAATCGCTATTCACAACCTTTAAAAATGTCTGCATGCTTTAATTTAAATAAAGTTGATTGCTCCTGCTTTGCCGACATATGCTATTTTCTTTGTCCGTGAAAGAGATTTAAATTTTTTAGTCAAATATCCACAGATATAAAAGCCGGTATAATGTGACGAGCGGAGTCGATTTAGCCATGACCGCTATCTGTCGCTCTCACTCTCTCTTTCTCTCTCACTCTTCTCTCTTTGTTTAGACACAAACTAGTCCATTAATTGTCGGAACGTACCAGATAGGATCATTACAATATAACGCTTCTGCATATACAACTGATTGTTCAGATATGAGTTTTTTTTTTTGAAAAAAGTTAACAGTGAAAATCAAGTTCGATATATACATAGATATAGAAAATAATGTGGACTATAAAGTTAATTGCATTTTTTGTTTAATAATTTTAAAGTCAACGTTATTCGACTGTAACTACGGACCATAAGGTTTCCTCTTAAAAACTTCTTTTTTCAGGGTTCCACTTAATCCAACGTAGTCCGATTTGTCATAAAATCTCCAAAAACAAGTAAGAAAGTCTAAGTTCGGGCGGAGCCGAACATTAAATACCCGGCGCAAGTATTAAATATATGTTTTTTCACCCTTCCGAAACCTTCCGCTAGATGGTAAGCCGAGGTGTATCAATTTTGAGTAAATTAGCGTCCTTCAATTTCGAAATATTGAAGTTTCAAGCATTTCTGAAATTTACCGTTATATGAAAAGCGGCCGTAATTTTAGTCCGATTTCAATAATTTTCAACGGTTTGCTTTTATGTGGCAAGCACAATAACCATACCGAGTTTGGTACAAATTGGTAGAACGGTTACCGATATACTTATATGTGATCATAAGTGGGCGGTGCCACGCCCATTTTCCAAAATTTTACCATAAACGTATTTCTTGGTAAAGAATTGTTGCAAGCATCAATTTTGAATAAATTAGCTTCAATATTTACTGATTTATCGAAGATTTTGTATTTCTCTAAATTACCGTTATATGGGATGTGGGCGTGGTTATTGTCCGATTTTAAAAAGTTTCGGCGGTTTTTTATGCTGTACCAAGGCCAACAACTGTGCCAAGTTTGGAAGAAATTGGTGCAGCGGTTACCAAGATATACACATGTAACCATAAGTGGGCGTGGCTACGCCCATTTTCCAAAAATTTATAATATTCTTATTTTTCGTCTGAAAATTATTGTAAATATCAATTTTGAGTGAATTATCTTCAGTAGTTACTAAAATATCGCAGTTTTCGTATTTCTGGAAATTACCGTTATATGGGAAGTGGGCGTGGTTAAAGTCCGATTTCGCCCATTTTCAATACCAACCTACCTTGGATTAAGGGAAACCTACATACCAAATTTCGTTGAGATATCTCAATTTTTGCTCGAGTTATCGTGTACACGGACAGACGGACAGACGGACGGACAGACAGACATGGCTTAATCGATTTCTTTTTTCATCCTGATCATTTATGTATACATTTGTCTATATCAATCTCGATTCGTTTTGGCTGTTACAAACAACCTTTATGTGAACAAAATTAATATACCCTTGTGCACAAGTGCGCTCGGGTATAAAAAGCTATTACTACGTTCGTAGCAATTCGGATTCTGCGATTGCGTTTTCGTAGACTTTACGAAAATTGTACTAAGATGGCCCCAATGATAGCCACGATTAATTTTGACCCATCATAGTTTTGAATTTCGGACCGAAATACTTATGCAATTTGGTATCTCTATCATATTCGAAAAACGTTTCAAATCATAATGTACATATGGGCGTTTCCACAAAAATGTTAACCGAAAATGCAAGTAAATGAGTTCAAACGGCTTTATAACCTTAAGTTTTGTATTCAGATGTGTTCCAAGTGTTCCAAGGGCATGCAATTTTTTTTTATCAACCAAAGGACGGTATAAAAACTACACAATGGCACTTTTTTTTATAAGTGACTTCCGTTTTCGTATCCCAGAAGATAAGTGCTTCCTTGCATTCCTTCTAGTAGGGCTTATACATTTACAATTTGCGCGAATGTATAAATTTTATATATTATTTAGCATTACAAATGAATTTAAAAAAAATATTTTAGTTTAAAAAACTAAAACCTCCCTATTATAATTGCCATACGTACTGTCATCAGGTATGTAAATTGAGAATAGAAATCGCTGCATCTTTTAGGCGCATCAATATTACATAGTTACATCCCGAGCTAATAAAAGGAAGGTAAAAAGCTTTTAAGTTACAATAACACATATTTGATATAAACCTTAAGCAAATACTTCAAAGATGTAGGATTTTCATAAATTAAAGAAGCTACTTTAAAAGAACTCCTCCAAAAGGACTTCTGAAGTAGTCCTATAAAAGCCCTTCTGGAAGGCCTTCTATGGGTAACGAAAGAAGGAGCCCCCAATTTGTGCCATTCCATACAAAAAATAAAGGAATGTAGGGTGGAAGGCCTCTTGACTCTCAGGAAGACCTTTCAGAAGGGCTTTTAACTCCTGAAATTATCTACTGGGATGATTTATTTAACTCTAAAGTCGTACGAATGTCGCGTCCGACATCGTGGAAACACCTTTATACAAATTATGCCTCTACTATGGCAGTTCAAGTGGAGTTTTTTGAGATTATGGTGCTTTTTCCACTTGTAAAATCTAGTTTCAAGCTCCGAAGAATAATTACAAGAAATAATTTGCGTTATTTCTGTTGCATGCAAAAGTAATTTGCCGTTGCTGTAAATTTTCTTCATAACCGCTAATAACTTTCCTTAATCATTTTTCATTTTTCGTTTATTAAAATCTAGAATACTGTATAGATGATGTTGAAAATATGGTAGCTTATTTTCAATTATTTACTGTGGAAGAGGAAAGGGGTATGAAAACATGAGCATTCACTATATAATACAAAGAAAAGCTGTACTTTTAACACACACAAAATATGTATTGAAAAATTAATTTGAAAAAAATTAGTAAATGCTAAAATAAGAAACGCGAATATTAACGAATATCAAATATATGTAACTTTCAACTATGTATATAGATACAAAACAGAATACAGTCGGTCAATAAAGTTTAGGTACAGCGAATTTCTTACAATACGGGCAACTATTTTTTAAATATTTTACTTTTCGCTAATTTTTTATAAAAACATGGCTAATTCTACAACAAAAACCACAAAAATCAAAGTTCCAAACCTTGTGCACTATTAATGAAAATTCTGCAAAATTTCATTCAAATATTGCACTTTTTATTACGCTCTCTAGAAACAAGTTGAATATGCAGTTTTTTAGCCCATTCAATTTTGGTATAACAAAGTGCAAGTATGAGGAAGCTAGGACTTACCATTGATTTTTGGGAAATTTTTTTGTTGAAGGTGTCGCACATTTTTTCCATATAAAAAAAATATCAAACATTATTTTATATGGAGAAAATGAGCGACACCTCCACCAAAAAAAAATTCGAAAAATCAATGGTAAGTCCTAGCCACCTCAAACTAGCACTTTACTATACTAAAATTGAATGGGCTAAAAAACTGCATATTCAACTTGTTTCTAGAGAGTGTAAATAAAAAGTGCAATATTTGAATGAAATTTTGCCGAATTTTCTTTAATTTCGCACAAGGTTTGGAACTCTGATTTTTGGGGTTTTTGTTGTAGAATTAACCATATTTAAAAAAAATAATAATCGAAAAATAAAATATTTAAAAATAGTTACCCGTATTGTAAAAAATTCGCTGTACCTAGTCTTTATTGACTGACTGTACGTGAAAAATTAATCTAATTCAGGTTAAAAAAAAAATTTATGTTATTTAATTTACAAAATGGCCTACCTCATATTTGCTTTTTTTAGGACGAGTTTTCGTGCGCCGAGAAATTGCCTTACGGGACGCATTTAATTTAAGCCATTTATGCAACTCTACCGTTAGTGTCAATTAGTACATGCATACATACTACATGTGAAGTGGAGTGGGAGATGTTGTGAAATTTCAAAAACTCGTAGGCTTTTATTTTCTTAAAATTGTAACTGCTTTATTAGTATTTTTGGTTTATTTTGTTTTCTGTTAATAATATGTATGTAGCATACGCAAGTATATTCTGGCGGCTATGGTATTTTTAGTTTAACGTTTATATGCATTTTCTTATTTTTTTCTGATAATTTTTTTTTCGTGTTTATGCTTCCAGCTCATTGCAAATTCGTTATTGTTTTCATTATTCAATTATACGATTTTTGGGAATGATTAGCAGTAGTGGTCGTTATAAAGTATATACATATACATTTTAGTAGTATGTAGTAGCAGTAGTAGTAGTAGTTATGCTAGTCGAAGTTAAATTCAATCCTCAATCAATTCGTTTCTTTGTTTCTATAAATTTGTTTATTTTTTATATTTTATCATATCTGCAAATAGATATAAAGCAACAAATGTTTTTTTAAGTAAATCAGTGAATTTTGAGTGATTTACTATTTACACGAAAAGCGCAAATAGTTAGGCGTAAAGGAAAATAAAGATAAATTTTGAAAATGCAAAAGTGGAGAATACAACAAGACGATACAACATAAAAAACACAAAATAAATGAATTTCGAAATAAAAACGTGTCCGACTCGGATATTAAAAGGATGTCCAGAGTACGCATTGTAATAAGGAGGGGCAGGAGTTATATAAGGAATGTTTTTTTTTACGNTGTTATTGTTTTCATTATTCAATTATACGATTTTTGGGAATGATTAGCAGTAGTGGTCGTTATAAAGTGGTAATATATAGTATATACATATACATTTTAGTAGTATGTAGTAGCAGTAGTAGTAGTAGTTATGCTAGTCGAAGTTAAATTCAATCCTCAATCAATTCGTTTCTTTGTTTCTATAAATTTGTTTATTTTTTATATTTTATCATATCTGCAAATAGATATAAAGCAACAAATGTTTTTTTAAGTAAATCAGTGAATTTTGAGTGATTTACTATTTACACGAAAAGCGCAAATAGTTAGGCGTAAAGGAAAATAAAGATAAATTTTGAAAATGCAAAAGTGGAGAATACAACAAGACGATACAACATAAAAAACACAAAATAAATGAATTTCGAAATAAAAACGTGTCCGACTCGGATATTAAAAGGATGTCCAGAGTACGCATTGTAATAAGGAGGGGCAGGAGTTATATAAGGAATGTTTTTTTTTACGCTTAAAGTAATTTTTAGTCATCTTATATTAAACTTCACAATGTCAGCGCCTTTATTGTTGCTACCAACGCGTCATAAATCTTAGTATAACTTTATACGTCACATCAATTACACGCTTACATTGCCGCTAATTCCATACAAACCTAAACAACCTCAATAAATGACACTTAATTTTACATACATATACAAAACATTTTGGAAATTATATACATAAACATACATATTACGCCTCAATTTGCAAATAAATATACTTTTTATAGAATCTCGCATAATTAGTAAGCCGTTAAGAGCTTACAACAATTTGATTTGCCCCAAATATACGTCATACGGACACCAATTAAAAATTAAATAAACAAATAACAACGAACTGCTTATTAAACACCAACACGTTAAAAAAAAAGATGATCACAAACTTACCTATTGTGGTGCTGTGGTGGTGCGGGCAATGCTGGCAATTGTCTGCGATTATGTCCACCACTGCCAACATATCTGCTATAATGACGAGGACGCATATCATCATCATCGTCAGCAGATTCAATTGTGATCATCTCTTGTGGACGCGCCCCACGCACTCCACTCTGGCGAGCGCGGTTGGTGAATTCACGATCGAAATCCTCTGCATCATCTTCCTCTAAATTTATAAATTCTTGACGCTCCTCCAATTGGCCGGAACGCAAGTCCTGCTCTTTTTCAATTATATGCGCACGTTCGCCAATGTGATGTCCAATAGCCATTTTCTTCATACCACGCCTTGAATCTTCAACTGTTTTGCGTGTCTCACGTATGCCACCGGGTCCAGTTTTTGTACTAGATGTAGCCTGATAGATTTGTGGACGACCATCGGGGCCAGAGGACATTGTGATAACTGAGCTGGAGCAATAAGAGGGGCCATTCGGAGAGCCGATATCTATCAAGTGAAGTGAAAGACAGTTGAATTAATAAAATTTCATATAAAATTGTGTACGAACACAACAATTTAATCGAACTCTGTAGGGGGGAAACTTACTTCCTGCGCTGAGTAGGCGATTTATATTTGGCATTGGTGGAAAACCAAAAAGACCGCCCATCGGATTACCAGCATGTGGATTGCCACGTTCCATGAGCGCATTCTGTTGGAAGCCTGAATCGAAAGGTGCCAGCATATTGAATGGATCGGGCATGAGTGAATTCATTAAACGATTCATCGAGCGCATTTGCATATTCATTGCATTCATGTGATTGCTGTAAATAGTTGAAAGATTTTTATTAGTAAAGGGACGATTAGAGTGAGGGATTAGATGTTTTTAAAACATGTTAAAGCTTGGTTGACTGCATACGAATGTGAACGTCGTCGTGCGCCGGCAGGCATTTTCACAAGCAAATTTTTTATTCCGAAAAAGTATGTGCGTACAAGCTGTGTTAAATACAATTTGTATGTATATATGTAGCTTTTATTCTTTTAAACAAAACGCAAAAAAAATCAATTCTATTATAAAAAATGACAACTGATATTGAAAAAATGATACAAAAAAAAATGCATGAGTGACTGTGTTGATCGATTTTGCAAATATACTTCATCTCGAATTTTTTATTGCGAATCGACGATTGTACTAAATTTTGTATGAAATTTTAGTTTTACATAAGTTTTTATCACTAAACCCTCTCAATAATTCTCTACACTTCGCTCTTCAAATATCGCATACTCGCCAGCTGCTACAACGCTTTACCAGCATAGTAAATTGTTATTGTATAACAAATTATACATAATAGGTTTTTGAAATGTGATGATGTGAACCATAATACAAAAAAGAAGGTAGTTTCAATAAACAACTTTTTGATTAAAAAGCAGATTTTTGACAATTGCTCAATTGTGAAAAATTCGAAGCGGCGTTACCCAATTGTAAGTTTTTTGGTGTGGGAGATTTTATATCCTAAATTTGGGTTTATATAGAAAAGAGTTGTATTAATATATACCTTTTAAAAATAATCAATCTCTTATCTTAAAAACGTTTAAATTTTACATTAAATTCGATAAAAAATTGCCAAATCTTTATTTAAGTATTAATGCAATTTTAGTGAACATATTTTTAAATTTTTTTAGTGTCCTCATGTCATCTCATTATTTCACAATGTAGTTTTATATATCGGATACGATGATTCTGATGTAATTCAGACACTGAAACTACACATTTCGAGCAACAGCAAATGGAATTTACTTTAGGACCCATGGGCCGTAAAATTTTTCCAGCAACACATATTCTTTTCACATTAAATTTTGAAACACCCAAATGAAGTATGAAATAAATAGATAAAAATAAATTTTTAATGAAACTGATTTGTGTAATCCAGGGGCGTCTTTAGTAAATGTTTGGAGGCTGTTTTAATATATCCTATCTTATTATATATTTTTTAGCTTTACTACATTCTGAGAAGTTGAGAGAATGAAGTCTAATATTCTTTTTTGGTCAACTATGATGTTTGATTTCATTTTTTGCAATCATTAGTTCATTTCGTTTGAGCAGTCACAATGCCGATTTTTTTGAAATTTCGGGCACAAATTTTCCATGAATGGTTATAGGCTAAAACAAAACCGATATCTAAAGGGTGTGTGGAACCTCCTACACAAATCGAATTCTTCATAGTGCATATCTCTGGAAGTATTTGTGATAGAGTCCTGGAACTTTGTATGGATATATGTATGGATTTATTGGAAAATGCGGCGTGCCACCGTAGAACTTGGAATAGAGGTAACTGAAATCAATCCCAAACCTATGAAAAATGGGGGTATATGAAAACGATCTCGTAGCCATTGAAAAGAGCTAGCGGTATAAACCAAATATGTAAACTAAAACTCTTGTGGCGCATAGATACCTCTGGAAACATTTACCTAGAATACTGAGATGAGGTATTTTTCCAACGGAAATATGTACAGAAAAACGGGCGCGACACCTTCTGGAAAGTAACATGATCACAGGATGTATCCCGAGAACCATTTTAAGCCAAACCTTCAGGGATTACATTCTTGCCAAGACCCATAGGCATAAGCTGAAATTTCGTCGTAAGTTTTATCATCGGCTTAGGTAAGGTTTAACCACTTAACCACCCTTTGAATTCTATAAACTGTCAGCTTTCACACAATATAAAATGTACATGTAAGAACAAAATATTTTTAAATCGACAAAAAATTAATAAGAAAATTTGAAGGATTTTAGATATTGGGTATGGTAGCACGAAATGTCACAATCTGCTTAATTGTCAGGTTGTTAATATGGCGACGAAAAAGTGACAATGGAACTACCTTGTTTTTTGTATCATGGTGTGAACAAATATTCCTAGAGCATCTAGATGCATTTCTCCATCAAAAAGAAGATTTTGAAGAAAATGTCGCTTACGTTATTTTGGCGATTAGAGCTCGAAATTTTAAAGCTGTTTAATTGTTTTTGTACCAATTGTTTACCACGTAAGGTCTCATAACTTTAGTGAAGCGAATAATTTGTATCATATAAAATTTTTCATCATCGATTGAACTACTTTTCGTAAAGCCAATTACAGCGGGATTTGCAATTTATATAACAAAATTTAGATTGGCGCTTACACGTATGTTAAGTGTTTAGCAGAGCTTCTTCTTCGATTTGTGGCGTGCGCCTTGATGTTATCCCACAAAGGGAGTGATCTACAGTTTTACGCCGACTTCGTATTTTTATGAGAAGCTGTTGTCATGACAGAATACAATAGGAGGTTTGCCACTGTTGTATGTATGTTTGCTTTAATTAGCTTACATTTTTTAATGATCTTTATACATACATACATATGTATACCAAGTATGTACATTAGGGCGCTCCAAATAAGTAAAGTCTGAATTTTAATGCGCTCACGGCCTAGGATTGTTTTCCATATCGAAAAATATATCCCTATTTTTTAATTTTGAAATAAAAAAATATTTAGAGTTCGCCCAAAGCAATCAAAGTTTTCATATATTTTATATGGAGGAAAAACAACTTTTCGTAGAAATGGTGTAGAATTCTTGAAAATCAAGTATTTTTCTGATCGGAAAACTGTCAGGATATTGGAAGTTTCCAAATGATACCCAATCGTTTTTCAATCCTTTTTTACGGCTTTATTCTGTATCNAACTTCCAATAATGATACCCAATCGTTTTTCAATCCTTTTTTACGGCTTTATTCTGTATCAGTGAATTTTTTTTTTTTTTATGGAAATATATGTTAGTTTAAATCTGTCATTAAAAAATGTCTGTCGCCATACAGAATTGAGCTTTCAATACTGCACGATATAAAAAAATGGTTAAACAAACAAAATATTGATTTTCAGGAATTCGATACCATTTCTTCAAAGTTTTTTCCATATAAAAAAAAAAAACTTGGAAATTTTTCAGCGCTTTGAGCGACCTTTAACTATTTCTTAATTTCAAAATAAAAAATAGAAGTAAATTTTTTCGGTAAAGAACCATCCTAGGGGGTGACATAAAAATTCCGACTTTTTTTTTACATGTTATTGTGGACCAACCTAATATGTACGTACATGTGTGCATAGACATAAAATAAGGTTAACTAACAATTTGAAGTAAAAAAAATTGCCGTATTGTTTATTTTTATCTATTTATGTACATATATAGTAAATAATGCATTATTCACTAAAGAAATTAAAGATTATCAGATCAAACAGCCAAGCCTCATAACAAGATAAGAATGATACGAACCCAACTTGGAATTGATAGTATATCTATTTAGATATACATACATACATATATATCCATAATAATGTTACTTCTTTTGAAGGGATTGCTGTTTGTATCAATTTTGAGTAAATTAGCGTCCTTAAATTTCGAAATATCGAAGTNTTTCTTAATTTCAAAATAAAAAATAGAAGTAAATTTTTTCGGTAAAGAACCATCCTAGGGGGTGACATAAAAATTCCGACTTTTTTTTTACATGTTATTGTGGACCAACCTAATATGTACGTACATGTGTGCATAGACATAAAATAAGGTTAACTAACAATTTGAAGTAAAAAAAATTGCCGTATTGTTTATTTTTATCTATTTATGTACATATATAGTAAATAATGCATTATTCACTAAAGAAATTAAAGATTATCAGATCAAACAGCCAAGCCTCATAACAAGATAAGAATGATACGAACCCAACTTGGAATTGATAGTATATCTATTTAGATATACATACATACATATATATCCATAATAATGTTACTTCTTTTGAAGGGATTGCTGTTTGTATCAATTTTGAGTAAATTAGCGTCCTTAAATTTCGAAATATCGAAGTTTCAAGCATAACTGAAATTTACAGTTATATGAAAAGTGGGCGTAATTTTAGTCCGATTTTAATAATTTGCAACATTGTGCTTTTACGTGGCAAGCACAATAATCGTGCCGAGTTTGGTACAAATTGATCGAAAGGTTTATATGAAAAAAAAATAAAATGCCAAGGATAGTCACAAAAAAATTCTCAAAAATCAACGCTAATAAACTGCATACCTGAATTCTTTTTAGAAATTCGTATTAAAATTGCGATTTTGTTGAAACTTTGCAGATTTTTCTTAATTTTCGTACACTGTTTCATTCTTGGATTTCAAATTAACAAAAAGATTTTAGCATGTACATAATACATTGCGCATATTAACAAAAAAAAAAGAGCCTTACGGGAGTAATAGTACATCAGTACAGTACGGCGGTCCCGACGTTTTTCAAAATTGTACAGCGGTTCCTGTGGGTCCCGAAATTCACATGTCTTTCGAATTAGTTTTAAATAATATAAAAAATAATCAAAGATCTGTCATCTTCCAATTATTTTGTTTCGCTTTTCGTACAAATAAAGCATAAAAGTGATTATTTAGGTTGTTAAATACGATTTTTTGTATTTGCGGAGGTGGCGGGTTTTATCGGGAATGTCGGGAAAGTATTTTGGTCCCGCCCCGCCCGCAAACTTTTTTAAGGCCTTCCCGATATAGGGTATCAAGGGTTGATCCAAGGTGAATTCGTATGTATGTATATATGAACATGAGATGAAAATCAACACATTAAGGACTTTAAAAAATTCGACTTGCAGATGTTCGTGCCAACAAAAAAAACAANATATGAACATGAAATGAAAATCAACACATTTGGGACTTTAAAAAATTCGACTTGCAGATGTTCGTGCCAACAAAAAAAACAAATGAGTAACTTATGCATAATATGCATTGAACTGCTAATTGATACTGCCACTGCGGAAGTTTGACTGTATTTTATTTTCCGTAATTAACCTACAATTAGGACAAAAAGCGAACACCATTACAAAAACACCTCAAAGCCAATTTGAATTCAAATAACACCTCAAGCAAAAAGGCAAAGTTCATGGAATACTCGAACCTTCTCAACAGAAATAAATATAAGAAATTGTTTGGAAAAATCGTGTCGGGTGGATGAGTGTGCTTATAAGAAGGAAATATAAAGCAATTCTACCGAAAGGGACAAGGAAAAGAAAATTATCGATTTCTATTGTGCGCAATTGACACTGCGGCGACGGCGGCAGCTGACGTAGTCGTTTATGTACAAATGAATATATTCACATCCGCGCATACGTATGTCCGTATGTATGGATGGATGTGCGTAGATAAATGCACATCTTTACAAACATATGTACCTGCTGCGCTGATTTGTACATAATATACATATACATACATAGCTAATTATTGGAGAAATTGGCCGCCACCGCAAACTATAGCATTTATCACCAAGATTGCATTTTTCTACGTGGAAAATTAATCGTATGAACACTAATCTGGACCTTATGTGATATGTAGGTACATGTGCACCCATATGTTTAAAAAAACCCCATGTGATAATCTTTGAAAAACTTATCATATATGTACGTAAAAACTTTTATTTTCTAACAACTGCCCACACCTCTCAGTAATATGCACACGGCTTCTCGTGATGATCACGATGATTTTCCCCGACGAAGTCGGTAGAGGAGCACCCAAATAAATATCAAATAGAAACAGCCACAACTTACCCCATGAAAAGGTCATCATCGAAATCTCCCATTAATGAGCCAAATAGCGACATTTTGTTGTTTTTTGCAAGCAATATTTTCTTCAAAAGCTCTTCACAATTATTTTGCTTCTTGTCAGCAATCAATTGGATCAAAAATCGATTAAAATACACGATTTTAAGCACTTTTATGTAAAACGCGTCTTTGCTTTTCAATGCTTCGTTAAAAATTCTACAAATTTCTTTGCCTTTGTGTCGGATTCGAGCGCAAAATGCGTGTGCATGTGTGTGCTACTGCAGGGTTGCATGGAGTGGTAAATTAGCATGCCAAAAAATTGAAATTTCAAAGTAATGTCGAAATCAAACTTTTTAGTACCAAAACTCTGTTGCATTCGAGAACTATGTAAATATCTTTCTTCTTTAATATTATTTGCTGCCATTACAAGGTATTTGGTAAAAAAAAATAACGATATAAATATACAAGCCCATTACAACACTTGCAATCCACAACGCACGCCAATATGCTCGCTATCGTTTGCCACAGACGTTGAGCGGCTCGTATGTGATCTTGTCGTTATTACTCAAAACTCGATCAATGCACATGGTTTGGATGCATTTATCCGGCAATAAGCACACTGCAATTATCAGCACTAAATCAGGTTTTTGATTTTGTTTTCAATTCCATGTTCGCAAACCACGCGACAAACAAGGAAAAACTTCCCTGAAAATCAAGGGCTGCATTTCTTTATTCATTCAGAATGTTTGGAATAAACTTCTACAAACGCATTCTGTTAATTCCGGCTGTAAATATGGAATTATCTGGAATGTATAGAGAAACGCAGCAAAACTATTTTGATTTTTGGCGAACATGCTCGTGAACCCACCCACAAACGGCGAACATTGCCGCAAACACGTCCATGCTCGCACACATGTTCGTACTGTGTGGCTAGTGTAAATTTTGTTCAAGAAAAAATAACACACCAGCAACCCTGTACGTCTTCGTGTTCGTGAATGTTGAACGTCCGTCAGCAGTGTGAAAGAGATGACTAGTGTGCATTTATAGTGCTGCTATATTTTCACAAAACTGTTAGTTCCCTTAATTTCGAGAATTTTCGAAATTCATATACGAAAAAGGCGTACGGTGAATTCTGGCATACGTGTGCCATAACCACCACTTCTCAAACTTGCGAATGTTTAAGCTGAAATTAGTCGAGAACGCAGAACGTATACTTAAACGCAGTCTGTATCGCAGAGTTTTGTCGATTACTGGAGCCCTCAGTGTTGCTTACTACACTGTTGCCACTCATCAATATGTTTTCATAAACTTACCCTTTAACTACAATTTTTCTTGCTATAATAGTTTGTAGCTAAACATAAACTACTTAGTTTTCGACAAAAACCTTATTCAATAGTAAATTTCAAATATTTTAAACATATTTTGAATAGGAACTTATAACTTTTTTACCATCTGTAAAACTGACGAAGTGGCAATCATCTAAAGAAGGAGAAATCAGCTGACACGGAAAAATCTAAATTCCGCAGATTTCTGCGCTACGGGCTACAACTACAGAAAATTTCTGCGGTGTTGAGTTTTCATTTACATGGCGCTTTGGTAAGACAGATCGTGTCAGCTGACTCGGGTTTACGTACCGGTAGGTTTACGTTCTTGACTAATTTCAGCTTTAGATGAAGTCTGAAAATCACCGTTGTTAGACAATAAGGGTCTTCATCAAAAGTTATAAACTGCTGATGAACTTGATAAATGATAAATTTTTAAACTTTGTATGAAAATCTATTTAACCAAAGTTTATCAAATAAAGTCCATAAATTTCAGCAAAATTCCACCCTGACAGCTTTTGCTACGAACACACAAAAAAGCAAATGAACCCAATGGGCCAGAGAAGAATGGAACGTAACTACATACATATTTCACCTACCTATACCTACACATTTCATGTGCCTAATGAATTAAAATACAGTTAAGGAATAAAGCCTTTTTAAACCCAATTCATTTTTACCCGTATTTTCAATAATTCCTTTAACTTATTAAATTATTTGCATTTACCTTTTTGAACAGGTGGAAACCCTCCTTAATATTCTGAATATTCAAACCATCGTACAGTTTCATAAGTAAAAACACTATCAGCTGATTGCCAAAATATGCCTACAGCTGAGATCACCTGTTTTTTGGCATGTGCTCTTATCTTTTACAATTTCTTTCATTTCTATTACAATTTCATTTATTTCTATTACAATTTATTCAAAATACACTAACACACTGAACCAAAAACACCAATACAATAACCAAAAACACACCTACAGCCTGCCAAACACACACCTACAGCCTGCCAGAAAAAAGGTAAGAAGAAGAGTTACTTTACTTATGGAACTGTACGATGATTCAAACTAAGGATATCTTACCACCTTGGCTTCACGTCATATTTTAATATTTCATTTAATTAAATTCAAATTTTAAAACAAACAGGTTGGCAACCCTATTCAATATATTTTAAAACCAAAACCTGGTTAAACCTTGACTCTTATATTGCCATACATATATTAATTATGTATCTAATTCCTATAATTCAAGTTGATTTAATTTCTAAAACGTATGGCATTCCTTTTAAATAAAGTTAATTTGAGTTTAACTTTTTACACAGGTGGAAACCCTATTTAGTGTTATAAATGACCAAACTAAATATTTCTTAATACTCCTTTGTTTGATGCCAATATTTTAATAGTTGTGTTCTTTTACAAATTATCCAGTAACTTGCCAGTAACTATCCAGTAACTTAATTTCTGAGAATTCGCTCTGATAGCACAAAAGTAAAAGAACGCAAAACCAGTAATTGCAAGTTTTACGAACAGCTGATTTATTTGTTGTTTATTCAATTCAATTTCAACTATAAAAACTCCATAAACATTTCTTTTAGTAGTTTCAATTGCACCCAGCAACATGCGATCAGCTGATTTTCTCACTTGCAAGTTCTTACTAGTAAAAATTGATCCAGTAAAAACTAGCAACTTCTCCTCAAAATGAAATGTCACTTTGCGCTCTCATTTTCCCCTTTCTTACAGGTTTTTTTGGGTACAAGAACACCAAAACGTGATAGTGAGTAAAAACTGGTACGAACTATCGCGTACAAGAACGCTACAATATTTCATATAATTTAATTTAATTCGACTTTTCAAAGAGATGGCAATCCTGTACTGTATTGAGATACATATTTAAATTATCTAATACTTTCAATTCAAATTGAATTGAATTATAAAATGAGGTGGTAACCCTCTTACATGCAGTTTGAAAATAAAGTTTCTTCAAAGCAATTTTGTTTTATATTCATATTGTAGTAATTTATTTAAGCTATTGCTTATATTGAAACTAAACTAAACTGCAATATATTTTAAAACCACAACCTCTTTCGTCTGACATCCATATCAGGATATACACATGAACGAAAGACACAAGATCACGCCTTCCCGAAAGAAAGAAAAAAGTTATTTTATAGCTGTTGAAATCTCGACGTTATCTTTGTTGTAAGAAGTAAACAACGAAGAGAACAAAAAATCCGCGTAATTGTTGAACGCATGAATAATCATTTTTATTACGCAAATTCTTCTATAAATCATGTCGTTGTGTAAAATTATTCTTTACCTTATGTGTGCACACGTTGTCACAAGCGAAAATTAAGAAAATTGCAGTAAAAAGCCACCACCAAATTGTAAACAACGAACAAATGTAAACAGACGGCTAATGTCAAAGTCGCCCAACTTTTTTCCTAAATGCGATTATAACGGGCTACTAAGAAGGCGTGATCTTGCTTCATGGGATATACATTAGAGTGGTCCAAAATAATAAAGTCGGAATTTTAATGCCGCCACCCCCTATGATTGTTCTGAACCGAAAATGAATATACCCCTATTTTTTTATTTTGAAATCAAAAAATATTTAGGGAGTGCTCACAGCGCTCAAAGTTTTTCATGTATTTTGTATGGGGAAAAAAACAAATTTACGTAAAAATGGTGTAAAACTCTTAAAAAATCAATATTTTTCAATCGTAAAACTGTGGTTCTCTTCAGGAGACTTAACATATTAATATCCAATTGTTTATTTAACAATTTTTTCTGATTAAAGATTTTTTTATTGGTCCCCCCATTGCATTTTCTAGGACCTATAAGATATAGTTACCATGAAAAAATTGTTAAAGGAGCAATTGGGTATTATTACCGGGAATCTCCTGAAGATAAACAAAGTTTTCCCATCGAAAAATATTGATTTTCCAGAATTCTACACTATTTCTACGAAATATAAAATGCATTGAAAACTTTGAGCGCTTTGAGCACTCCCTAATTTTTTTTTATTTCAAAATAAAAAAGTAGGGGTATATTTTTTTTGGTATAGAACAAAAAAAATGCGACCTTATTTTTTTACATACATTTTTGGACCACTTTAATATACATAACATACATCTCAACTTCCTGCCTTTGATTAAGTCGTGCTTGTTTTTTGAAGCAGGTGGCAGCCCTCATATACATATAATTAAAACATAAAGCCTCTTCAAAACCATTTCGATCGATACTCATAGTGTAATAATGCCTTTTTTAAGTCGTGCTTGTTTTTTGAGGCAGGTGGCAGCCCTCATATACATATAATTAAAACATAAAGCCTTTTCAAAACGAACGAACGGTACAGAAAAGGGTGAGTCATATGAAATTTTTTGTTAGTACAAGTTTATCTGGAATTAATTTTTATGCGGTTTGTGTCACAACTAAATCGAATATGTAGGTATTCTAAATTAAAATTTGATTTCCTTCCTCCCAGTGTTTCTGCCATCTCCAATTCCGTATCCTCACTCGTATTTTAGCTTTGGCAAGTGTTTGCCTTTCGTTCGTTTTTCTCCGCTTCGGTTCTAGTGAAAAGTTTTATTAAATTGTGATTTAAATTGAGTATTTAAGTGCAAAATGTGTTTTGTTAAGTGTTTGTAGTGTATTTAAGTTGGAAGTTCAATAAATATAATTCATTTGTGATGAAGTGCAAGCATATAAAAAAAAGTGAAAAGTTATATGTATGGCCGATGCGCCGCCAGAGAAGTTTGTCAATATGGCGGCGCATGGGCAAAGATTGGTGAAAAGTGAAAATGGAGTGCATATAAAAGTATGTATGTATGTTAGTACATATTTATGTACAATGTATGTAAATAACTACATATCGATGGACCTTTGCAATAACGACACAACTCAAAACTTAAAAAAGCTAACTACTGAAGAGTGGTACATGTCTCTAATCAATGCCAAATCTTTACGACTGCGTTATACATAAATGATTAGAATGGATTAGTCACAGATTAGACAAGTTTTATAGACATGCGCCACTGTTCTTAAGCTGTTTTTTTTCAGCTTTGAGTTGTGCCGTTGTTTTCCGAGTGCCATCGTTCATATGTATGTGAGCTTGTGTTCATAAACTTGTTATATATGTACATATGTACATAATTATGCACGTACGGACGAGCTCTCGCATTTCTACGCTTCTCAATTGCCTTTTTATTTGGTCAAAAGAACTGGTGAGTTCCAGAAAATATTTTATATTTTTTAAATTTTTATTGGACCTTGAGTGAAAGATTCTGTCATTAGTACATCCTTCATTATGTATGTACCTTGTTTATTCCTACACAAGAACCGCATTAACAAAAACCCAAAATGACTCAACACATATTTCTTTTAAGCGTTTATACATACCTCTGCCTTTATAGCGCACTAAATGAAACCGTATTCAAAAGCAAACCAAATCTGCCATCCCATCAAAATACAAAGTAATATCTCTTTTATGCAACATTTATGCCATAGACTAAAAAACTTGATGAAATTTAAAAAAATCGTTTGGAAAAAATTTTGTCGCGTTTTATTTATGTATAAAGGAAAATTTGCGGCCTTATTGAATGACGCTGTATTAGATGATTCGTCAATTCAATAAATCAATAAACTTTAGTATAAGTATGTGCTTCAATTAATTAAATTGGTCTAGGTCAATGCATTCATTTTCGTTTAAATCAAATCCTTGATCTAGATTGCTTATCTTGACGCTGAATGTACAATGCAGAAATACATACTACTTACTAACATACTTGAATATAGATAAGATCAAAATAGTTTGAAATTGCACGCATCCACACTTTTGGAACCGCAGTTGGAGTTCTATATAAAAACCCATTGCACGCACCAAGAAGCCAGTTGAAGACTACAACCAAGCGTTAGCCTGAGTAACTAAAAAAACCACAGCGATGTTACATTTGCTTATTCTCAGCTTAGCATTACTGCTAGCCATTAGCGACGCAAGAATAACCACAACACGTCTGCTAGCACTCGATGGTCGGATTGTTGGCGGTGAGGATGCCGACAGCAAGGAATTTCCCTATCAAGTATCCCTTCGTCAATTCGGTTCACACAGCTGTGGCGGTTCAATTTTGGACACTGGCAACGAGAACACTACCGGCTGGTATGTGGTCACAGCTGCGCACTGTGTAACACCCAGCTCTCCGCAATATCATCGCGTAGAGTATGGCATAACGCAGCTCGGTGGTACCTCCGATAAAGTGGTGGACGTTGATCGTATCTTCCGACATGAGAACTACAACCCAAACACCATTGACTACGACATAGCCTTGATCAAAGTGGCAACACGCATAACGCTTAGTGACTTGGCTCAGCCGATACGCATAGCCAATGCAACCCCACAAGTTGGCGCAGATGCCGTTGTCACTGGTTGGGGTAGCGTGCAAGAAGGCGGCTATTTATCGCGCACTTTGCAAAAGGTAGCCGTTAAAATAGTCGATCGATTTGAGTGTGCCGGGCAGTATTCGCAATTCAATGCCGTCACGGAACGCATGTTGTGCGCGGGGGTGCCTGAAGGGGGCAAAGATGCTTGCCAGGGCGACTCTGGTGGGCCGCTGGTAGTAGGTGGTGAACTGGTGGGCATAGTGTCGTGGGGTGTGGGCTGTGCTCGTCCTAATTTACCTGGTGTATATAGCGATGCTGCTGTTTTATGGCGATGGATAGAGGAACAACTTGGAAAATGAGTGTTTGAAAAATATTTGTTATGAAGAATGTTTGCGCCCCGAAAAATAAAGGAAAGACACAGCATAAAGATTTAACTTATCGACTTGTTTCATAAAAACGAAAATGTGGTATTAGAGTGACCGTTAATTTAGTGATAGAGCTAATGATTGCTATATAAATATTTATAAAGTAATTACCCCAATAACGGTTAGGAAGCTGATAACAATGGTAATAACGGAAGTAGCTAGGCTGTCAATAACGATATCCATGCTGAGAGGAAAATTGATAGTGTTTATCGAAAGCGATCATAGCAGAGAGCTGCGTTAGACTTTACTACGATCGTAGTAGATTTACAACGATTTTCGAGTAAATTGTTAATTTATTGCGCTACTCCGTTTTACTAACGATCCGCTTTGTTTTCCCCAAGAACCAAAAAACACATAAAGTTGAATTGTCATCCTTTTTAAAACTTTCCTTTTAATAAAAGCATGAAACGATAAATTCAGATATTTTTGTATGTATCTTATAAATAAGTTATATCAAAAATTATTGGCTAAATTGTGGTAATACCTAGCTTGCATATACATATAAATATAGATAATACCGATCAGGGCCGTAGCCAGGATTTTTTTCGGAGAGGGTTCTGACAAAATAATTTTTATTTTTTCACTTTTGCTTCAACATAGATTGATTAAAACAAAAATACTGATCAACGAAAAGTCCAAGCTACAGCTCGCATACTGTATACACCTGAATAAATAAAATCTTTCTAAGAAATCTAACTAAATATTTATTTTTTTATGAAAAATTGTTGAATTTTTTCCAAATTTGGCACAAAGTTTGAAACTTGAATTTCTACGATTTTTGTTAAAGAGTAAACTGTATTTTTATAAAAAGAATAACTAAAAGTAAATAACAACCAGTAATGTTTTAGCAAAAAACAAAACCATCTTCAATTGTCGTATACAAATTTAAGAGTACCGTTAATTTCTTCATGATCCAATGATCGGATCTTAACCAAATTAGTATGGGACCACCTTGGAGGTACTTACTTTCCTTAAAAAAAAAAAAAACTATAGAAATCGATTAACCTGGTCCAAAGTTATGCGGTAACATACATACATAAAAAAATAAAAATACAAAATCTAAAAATTAAAAGAAAACTAAATTAAAAGACAAAAAAAAAATAAACATATCATAAAAATTAAATGAAATAAAGATATACATATTTTTCATTATAACAAAATAAAATCCAAAAATTAAAAGAAAGTGAAATTAATGGAAAATGAAATTATTTAAAAAAGGAAAAATAAACAAAAAAATTTTTCTAAAAATTAAATTAAAAGCTGACAAAATATTTTTCTTAAAGAGGAAATAAAATTTAAAAATTAAAAGAAAATTGATCTGACAAAAACGTATTTAAAAAATAAAAACCTAAATAAGTTCCTTAAAATTAAATGATGTAAAAGTGTATCTTTCTTTTTTAAAAAAATAAATCTAAAAATTAAAAGAAAGAAGGGAAATTAACAGAAAATAAATAAAATAAAAAAGAACATAAATAAAAAAGATTCTAAAAATTAAATTGATCTGTAGTTAACTGCCGATTCTGAGTTAACTAAGCACTGTGAATTCGGCCCTTAAAAGAATAAAATCTAAACAACAAATCGAACTCGGATCTTTCGTATGGCACGCCTCTGCTTTGTTCACTCGACCATTGCGACTGTTGGAGCGACGCGAGATAAATGATAGCCAGGTGTATTCTCCCAAAATACATTTTCACCATGATGGTGAATGAGATAGTTTTTGCTCAGACTCTTGTGCTAGAATAACAAAATTCTTTCGAACTATCATGCCATCTGTCTTTCATTTGACTTACGATCAAACGTATCTGGCCGCTCACAAAACCCTGTCTACTTATTACTTAGCAGCTGGCGTAGGAGCGAGACTGGTTACAAGTATATTTCCATAGGTGTGATGTTGAAAGCGCCCTCGATGCCTAGGAAGGCTATCAAAATATATTCCTTTGTCGCAATGCGGCACACGATTTCGTGCAACGCTGTTTTAATGGATTTTCCGTAAACATAATTAAATTTTAGCCATTTTTATTCTTTATTAGATAACCAAAACCTTGTTGATGATTTTTTAAATGTATGAGTAAAAAGTTTTAAGATACATAATACGACAATATATACATTTATGTTATTTTATAAACTAACATTAAAAAAAAGGAAATACTTAAAATACTGCTGTTATCACATAATTTTGCTTTGCGCGGCTATTACCAAGAGCCTAATTTGTTCCTTTACAAAAATTCAATAATTACCTAGTTTTTTGGTTTTGTTATTTTTTTAGCCCAATAAAAATTATGTATATTCAACAATTTTGTTGAGCTTGATAATTTTCGCGTTGGGAAGTACCACTGCAGTAGTTACAGAAACAAGCTTTAATTATTTTTACAAAAAAATTTTGATGGCAAGTTTATAGAAACTAAGCACAGTTATAGATTTGTTCGTTCAGACCTTCCTTTTTTTCTTTGGTCGCACACTTATTCACTTTTATAATTTCAACTTTCATCTCAACTAAAATTTTCATTGCTTTCATTTTTGCTCTGCTCTATCCGTCTCTCTCGTTCTTTGTCTCTCGCTCTTCTCCTCCCTTTCGCATGTATACCGCTGCTTGCTGCTCAATCCACTCAAAATGATATGGCACGCTTGCGTATACGCCAGGATAATGTTGAGCACAGCCAATGCCCCATGAAACTATGCCCACGAGCGCGCCATCAACAACCAGCGGACCACCAGAATCACCCTGACAAGTATCCTTGCCACCCTCTTCAGCGGCTGCGCATAACATCTCCTCTGTGATAACATATTGCTTCGTCGCATATTGCACACCACATTCCAAGCTATCTACAATTTGCAGTTCCACTGCCTGCAGCACTTCAGACATTTTCTGCGCATTTTCATCGCTTTTGCCCCAACCTGTGGCGACAGCGTGTGCACCTACAACGGTCGGCGTGCGTGCCAGCACGATAGGCTGCACGTTGGCTGAGTATGTCAAAGCTTCCTTCAGAATTACCAAACCAACATCATTCGCATGCGTTTTCTTCACATAACCACTGTGATAGATTAGCTTCTGCACCGCTACACCTTGTTCAGCTGAGTCGGCGAGCGTGGTTAAACCTGTAACAACGCGTAGCGTGTAAGCGTAACGTCCTTTCAGGCAATGTGCGGCAGTAATAACAACACGCGGCGCATAAATCGAACCGCCACAGATATGTATAAGCACAGCGGAATCAAGCCCGATGGATACTTGGTAAGGATGGTTGGCTATATCCGTTTGTTGGCCACCCACAATGCGTCCTTCTTGTTGCTCAAGATTGTTTGGAATGTCTGAGTTGACTGTTATGACGCCAGCTTGAATTCCAAGCCAGCAAAAGGAGGCTAGCATAAGTAAACGGAATTGAAAAGCGCTGGTCATGGTGGGTTTATAAAGCGGCTGAATTGGTAAACGATGTGCTCAAGACAAATTACACAAATACTTTGTTGGCGCGCCGGTGGAGATTAATCGCTTTTATATGAAAACGTTTAAATCGTTGGGCAAAGTACGATAGGCATAAGACACAATTAGAACTTTAGTTAAATACCTAAAAATGTGTACATTAGGTTGGTCCAGAAAAATGCATGTGAAAAAAGTAGCGTCCGAATTTAAATACTCTCACGCTGTAGGATTGCCACCCTTTGTTTCTTTGCTAGAGCTTCTGAAATATTGCAAAAAACGCAATTTTTTGGCACTTTTACCAAGTTTTTTGCAAAACCTGTGGCTGATGGAATCTTTATACTTACGAATTCACAATTAGCACCAAACACCTATCAAAAATAGCTTTAACATTGCCGCACCAAAACTTTTTTCCATATTTGTTGGCCTGTGTTATTGGAGAAGTCTCCTAATGAGAAACAGAGTTTTTCGATCGAAAAATATTGATTTTCAAGAATGCTATACCATTTCTAAGTTGTTTTATTCTATTTACAAAAAAACCAGACTATACTTTTTATGGACCACCCTAATATACATAAATATGTGTTTAGTATGTAGTATGTAGTACATACATATGAATTTGCAAAGGCAAAGTGCTGTGCCATAATTTAATTAACAAGAAATTCCCCTCTTCTATGCGTAAGAAACAATTGGAGAACAAACATCTCTCTATGACATAGCCAAAATAAACTTTTCCAGTCCATTATGAAGCCGCTTGCGATGTAAGCACTGTTTGTTTACTCAGGAGCTAAACACCGCACCAATGGCCGTCTCTTTTGCGAATTGTTGCTGAATCACAAAAAAGCCCATCACCACTGATGAAGAAAAGTCAACACTTACGCCAACGACAAGCAACCACAGTCGTCGTTGAATTGCGGTGAGTCGGCGGAAACGTTTGCCAAGCCAAGATTGAAGGCCAGGAAAGTTTTACTGAGGGTTTGGTGGATTTGGTTAGCATGGAATCATCCATTATGAGTTACTCCCCAACGGCAATACTCCTAATTCTTATACATATCCTCTATATTGCCAACAATTCCAGTCCAGCTGCGCCCAGCTTTGACAAATTCCTGAGAGTTGCCATCAGGACAACGCTACTTTACACAAATCTATAGTGACACATCAGAAGCTCCGGAAGCTTGGTTGGTCGACTCATATATGTATAGCCCCTGAAGCTTAGCCAAACTTCCCACAAAGGATACAGCTATTTATTTTCCAGTTTGGTTCTTTTTTTTTCGATAGAATAGGAGTTACAACTCCTAAACATTATTTTCTCTTACAGTAGCTGATTTTCCAGACAAAGTATACGTAAAAATTTGTCCGTTAAGCAGGCTGCGGCATAATGGAATCCCACACAGCAGATGGAACCGGACCAGCGTTGCCGTTTGGTAATTTTTAGCCAAAATTGGTAATTTTATTGTTGCTTTTCGAATTTGGTAACTTGGTAATCTATTCTTCAGGTTAGTAACTTTTTGGAATTAAGTGAATTCATTCCTTCCGTGAAAGTCGCTAATGAATACCAAATCGTCTTGACCGTTCATGAAAGTTGATAATAATGAACAATCAATCACCTAGATCCCTTCCCATGACATGGAGCTGCCTACCCCACAGGTACGGGGCGGTAACATCGAGAGTTTCCTTAGACGTGATTAGTATCTTTTTATTGACAGCCTCGACATCTATCCACTCCACGCTTTTCTTCATGACACACAAGGCTTCCTGTGTTCTCCAGGAGAGAACTCGCAGTGGTCGCACGCGAGACACGTCATCCACCTCACCATCATGCACGTTTTTTCGATGGTTATTCATAGAAATTTTTGAGGTAAAATAAATTACGTGATAAAAACCTAAGCCCCTCATTCTGACAAGCGTGGTATTTTGAAGATCCTCCTTCCTCCACTAAACGGGTTACGTAGTATGGGTGCGTTCCCTAATGGGTATTCGCTCTTTTAAATATTCGTTGTAGCTTGTGTAAATGTAAATCGCTGGATGAACATGTGATTGTTGTTGCAATTGTATTTATTTTACCACTAGCAACAAGAAGTCATAGGGTATAGATCGGCAAAATAAGCATTTATCGCTGAAAAATTCGATCCATTCAAAAAGCATGACATGAATATTCTCACAAATTCTGATATTCTCGGAGTGTGAACTAGGAATCATATGTTCTACCTTTCATTTGACTTTTCGGAGTAGGCAGCGCACGATAAGGCGATTAAGTTTATTGCGTTTTATGCAGGTAACAATTATCCATAATTATCTATCATAAAATTCAATTAGATCGCCATTAATACCAATTTAAGGAGAATAGACGATTTCGACAAAGAATGAGCGAGCGTCTATAAAAAGCGGGGAGGGCAATACAAATACTAAGGAAAGATAAAGCCATATTAAAAAATAATGCAAGAAAAGAAAAAATAACCGTACTTAAGAATTATATTCGTAGTTAGCGAAAAGTTAAAAAATTGATTCATGATTAGAAATATGTACATTAGACCGTAGCAGAAAAAAATTCGCCATACCATAAGTATGTAGTATTTTTGCAAGGCAATTGCGAAAGAAGAAGCTTTTTTGGCCGAACGTAGGGGTCGGCTTTTTAAACTTTTCGTCATATATTTGGCATTGACAGTAACGTACCACCCTAATTAAAGCTCGCCAAAAATCATTAAACTTTTGAAACGGTTTTTTTTTCTGAATGTGGAAATCGCGTTTTTACATGTTTCGTCATATCTTGGGCATTTACAGCCGTTTCTCGAAGCATGATACATCGATGTTTTTGTCTCGAGGAGAACTTTCTTTTGTTCCAAAGTTCAGTAACCGCAAGTACCCCGTTCTAGTACTTGCCCACCAGATCCAAGTTCCTACCGCCTTTTGCTAAGGAAATATGTATTTAGATTATTTCAGTAGAACTATGTATTTGAAAAATAAAATAAAATTTATTGCCAAAGTAGGTGTCACCGAAAAATGTCAAAAAAGCGATCCCTAGGATCAACCAAAATTTGGTTGGCGAATTTTTTTGCTTGCTTGCGAGATGGTACAGTCTAATATCGAAGAATTTTTGTTTATTTCCATCATAAACTCAATAAAAATTCGTTCGGTAGTCGTTGTATCTATGTACATAAATAAGTTTATAGACAACAACAAAATACAAATTAGACTACCGATTTATACCAATTCAAATATTCATTTTTAATATGTTTGCACTCGCTAGCTAAATATGGAGAAAGTACTTGGAAGCTCGTGCAAATCGTGACCATATCACGTGACTATTTATTGCTGAGAGTAAAGGCAAAGTTTTTTCGAAATAAAAATTTGTTGTTTAGCACTACTATTGTGATTAATACAGTAAACCTATCCTATTTTCCTAGGAATATGACAAACTTTGTGAGCAATAATATCGCTAATCACCTTACTGATGGCTCATTAATACATATGTACATATGTACATATTTCCAAGTCCGAAGTAAGAAAGTACAAAAATGATAGCTGAGGGATTTACATAAACTTGAAATTCCGAGAAATGCAATCTTATTAATATACTCATAAATAGCTAGATACAGCGAAAAAGTGTGTACTTCACTTCGGCAAATACTTATTGAAATCGGAGACCGCGATTTCCTTAAGCAATCGTGTGCCTTGTCTGTATTCCAATGTTTACCCTTGTGAGTTTTCTAAATGTTGTATGTATATGAAGAACTTTACATAATAATAATAATAGATTGGCGCTTACACATATGTATGTTAGTGTTGGGCGGAGCTTCTCCTCCGATTTCACACAAAGAGCAAGGACTTACAGTTTTACGCCGACTAGGAACGGCGAATGTATTTTAATGAGAAGCTGTTTTTTAAGGCAGAAATACATTCGGAGGTTTGCCATTGCCTGCCGAGGGGCGACCGCTGTTAAGAAAAAAACCTTTTTTCTATATTTTTTTGCGATGTTGCTTTGACCAGGGCAGATTCATCTAGCAAACTCCGTTCAGAACATTTTTTAACACGCATCCTGTGACCTTGCCAGTTTCTTATTTTGTTGAGAGTAGTTTCCCGTTTCATATCGAAATCCTCAATTGCCAAAAAATGTCCATTGTATGCAGTCTAGGCGCTCTTGAAAGAGCAAGCCTTTTCTTAAGTGAAACTGGTGATGTGACTTTTCACATCCACACATCACATTTTCATTTAAGAAAGTATAGTTGTCCTAAATATGTAGTTACAATTTTCTGTCTAATTTAGGTTGAGGAAAAGTTCTCTTTCAATTAGTAAGAGAACTATCTCGCCTCATGTTATCACCGCTCAAGCTTCTGCGGGATACAATAGGACGGCTTGAGCAAAGACTTGCAGAGCGTAATTTTTGTTCGTCGGTCTTTACTTTTCAATAGCCTACTTAGTCTAAGGTAGCACTTGCTAGCAATAGTTAATTTACATATATACTTATGCACAGTTGATAGGTTAACATTGCTATAAGTGTTAATACTGGCTCCAATATACATACCTATTTATATGAAGTCCTCTACTTTTATGAAATTATAACTCCCAATATTGACGTGAGTGTCAAGATGCAAGAGTGGAGCCGACTGTTAGCTCTTTCCCTATCCCTGCGGAGCTGGTGGTATTGCTAAACGTTACTTTACGGAGCCGCCTCCGCCTTTCACGAGAATACCAAGCTCAGACATCTCGTCGTATAGACAACTTCTTTTCGTGTTATAAAAAGCGTATTTAAAATCGACAAAGAAATGGTGAGCATTTGAAGCTCGTCGCGCTCACGCAAGTATTTTGCCCTCTCTATTTTTTTTTTTTTTTGGAAAAATACGTCTCTCTTCCCTCTTCAGCGGCGTAACATACCCGTCGTACTAATTGTTCGTTCGGATGCGTTTAAAATTTAAACTTTAACTTTTTAATATTTTTAGTGAGCTTTGTACCACGATTGTTTATTAGGAAAAATTGAAAAAGCAAGAAAGTCTAAGCGGTAGAAGTTATAGCACTATTTCGGAGATCACCACATCTCCTCATCAGACTTCTTTTTTCTAGACTTCAGCAGGGATCGAACCTGCGAATTCGATGTTCAAAGTCAGAAGCGTTAACCACTGAGCTATGTACATCCCGTAAACTCTTGTTGCTAATTCATTTTCCTTATTCAACCAACTACTATCAAGTGCAGCTGATTTGCCGCTNTTAAACTTTAATTCCAGATTTGCGCCAAGGGAAAATAATGAACCGGTAAAGTGTTTCCCGTGCCCACATACTGCAGTTTGTTGAATAGCGGCAAAGATGCTGGCAGTCTGCTGCGCTTGCAGGTTTTCGACATAGAGTTTTTTTTTGCTTTGCTATTGGCTTCAGGGAAGTGGATCAGCGGATATCTCATCCTGCCTAGCAAGCCCAAGCCCTCATAACGGAGATTTTTGGAAGCCTTGCCTTTCTTCTTCGTCCTGGCGTGTGAGCCAATGAGCGAAATGTTGATGATTCGGATGAACGACAGTTCTTCGAAATCTAATCCGATCAAATCCAATGCCGAATTTACGCTCCTTTAAATGGTAGATATAGTAGAAGCCGCAACCCCTTACGAAATTATTGTCCAGTTCCGCCCATAGTAATTCTTGGATGCCAGTGATCTGCCCGTGGACATAAACCAGCCGAGCAGAGTCATCTTCTCCATTAAGGGTTGATGGTCTTCATCAAGAGAAGTGGATCTCTTATGAGCCAAAATATGTATTTTCACTGAAATTGGTTTTTACGTGAGTATTAAGAAAGTTTGAAAGAAAAATTAGGCAGTCATCGCAGCTATTCTCTGGCAGTGCACCTCCTAATCAACATAATTTAATTTTTTTATGGAAAATTTATTGGAATTCATTTTTACGCCCAAAGATGGACTTGGATTCTTACCTACTATTAGATTAAAAATGTACTACTTTCTTTGAATGTATTGCTTGAGTGCCTAAAAATATGCTTAGAAACAAATTTAAATGTAGAAGCGAGATATGAAAAAGAACAGCAAATAGTTAAATTAGATTAGCTGATACATTTCTTATGTAGGTATGTACTTAACATCGTTGCTTTGCTACAGAAGAGTTTGTTTTTCATTTTGTTGTTAGCCAGCACGAAAAAACAGCGACTGCCAGACTTTATTGAACTGTGGCTAAGATTACGCAAACATATGCCAAATAAATACATATATATATTTTTTGCAGATAAACTCTAAAGGCGGGTTTTCATATTTTGACCACAAAATGTGTCGACATATTTTGACACAATTTTATCTCCTTTACCAATGATACTATCGGCCAAAGACGAACGGATAGTCAATTCAGCGGCAAGATCTATTATGATCTCAATCAATCGATAGACCATTTAGTTAGACTCATTTACCATGTGTCTGTTTTCACTTATTTGACGACATATGCCCTGAATTTGACATGGTGAAAACAAGCCTTTAGGCACTCAGCATTGATTTATTAACTCTGAGATTAGCCGTTAAATGCCAGACGCTTTCCATTATATCACGGATTGGCTATCAAACTCCTTATCAGCTCCTATAAATTTCGCTAACATATGCCTTCTCTTACGCAGTTCTAATCCTCCTGCACCGCCGCGTAGAAATGTTTCGCCACATAACGCTCGTCGCGCTACTCACCATCGCCTTCAGCACGGGCTCAGCCAATGCAGGCCTCGAAACGGCAAGCTCTGTACCAATGCCCGATGGTCGCATCGTAGGTGGCACCAACGCAACCATAAGCCAATATCCACATCAGGTCTCGATGCGCTACAATGGACGTCATCGTTGCGGTGGCAGCATCTACTCATCCAAAATAATTGTGAGCGCATCACATTGTGTCACCGGTGTGGACGCTTCGAATCTGGGAATTGTTGCCGGGACCACGCTGCTGAGTGAGGAAGCCGTCGAAGTGCCAGTGCTGCTTTATGTTATGCATGAAAGATACTCCTCGATCAACGATTATGATGTCGCGATTTTGGTGTTGGCCAACCAATTGACATTCAACGCATACATACAACCCATTGCTCTGGCCAAGGAGCGTCCAGAAGCGGGCACTGATGTTATTGTGACCGGTTGGGGTACACTCGAAGAAGGTGGCAACGTAAGCGATCAATTGCAGCAAGTCACTGTTAATGTGATAGACAACGTCACATGCCGCCGGTCCTACTCGTTTCTGCTGACGCGACGTATGCTGTGCGCTGGTGTGGTGGGGGGTGGCAAGGATGCTTGCCAAGGTGATTCGGGGGGTCCGCTGATAGTTAACAATGAATTGTTGGGCATCGTTTCGTGGGGTATNTGGTGGCAAGGATGCTTGCCAAGGTGATTCGGGTGGTCCGCTGATAGTTAACAATGAATTGTTGGGCATCGTTTCGTGGGGTATTGGATGTGCACGCTCGAGCTATCCGGGTGTATACGCATCAGTGCCGGATTTAGCGGAGTGGATCGAGGAGACAGCGGAAGCCTATAATGATATCAAGGAGTATTCATATTTGTAAAACTAATTTACCTTTAAATAAAATTAATAACAGTTAATTTTTGACTTATGGTTGGTAATTTTTGGTTTTTTTTTTTAATTCACTATCAACAGTGTTAAGTACCGATAACGGTTGTGTGGAAGTTTACCGAAATTATTCCAGGAAAAAGCACTATTTTTCTTGCATTTAGCCTCGCCTTGCTGCTACTCATTATGCTTATAAAAAGAGGTAGAACGTGTTTCTAATAAATATGACTAAGGCACTCCGCACACTAAGCGCCTAATCATAGTTGTGTAATCGCTTCTGCATACTAAAGTATGAAGCTTTTACATATTTATATATTTCAATGAAGCTCCGTAAATTACGATTCATAATCATGTTTTCGTTTAAGGTCAGTACGCACGGGCACCTCGGTGACTATTCTTTAAAGAACCAATTTGAGGCTCTTATAAAGCGTAGAATCGGTTTTATTCTTACGCGTGATAATTCCGTAAGAGATCTACAGAAGGGCCTACCTAAAAAGCCTGCTCTCCTCTCGACCAAAGCTGGGCAACTACAGAAGAAGTGCTATACGGTTTCTTCCTCCTCTTCATCTCTGCAATATTCGTGGGAGAAAATTCCTAGTCTTGAAGAGTGGCTGCCAAATAGCCAATGACCGGTTACACAAGCAGTGGCCTTCGCAATATCCTCGCCTGAGAGGCACAGCAACTCTTTCGTTTTTTCTTATCTATTTGCGGCCAAAGCAGCCTGGTTGTTCTACAAGTGGCCTCTTCTAGCCATGACCTGTTGGCCTCTTGGATCATGCTATTTCGAAGTTCTAATTTGCAGGTTGCTATGGGTATCCCAATAGTGCCCCTGTTTTCACATAGGGGTAGAATGGTACGTTTCCTGGCCAGCCCATCGGCCCTGCAGTTTCCTTAAATATCTCTGTGTCCCTGAACCGATATGAGGCTGACCTTGAACATAGCGCTAATATCGTTTAGAGCTGCGAGGCATTCCTGCGCAACCTTCAATCTCAGCATTACCATTTTCATTGATTAAATGGCCGCCTGGCTATCCAAGAAAATATTAATCGTAGTCTTCGTTACCACCTCCTTTATAGCTAAAACTTCTGCCTGATAAATACTGCAGTGGTCCGGAATTCGGACGGATAGTTCCAGTCCTAGTTCCTTAGAGAAAACTCCGTAGCCAACCCTGTTGTCTAGCTTGGAACCATCTGTGTAAAAATTCAATTCGCCCGTCTCCATGGTCTTGGGTATTTGCCATTCTCTTCTTGACGGGATGCTCGTCTTAAAGAGCCTATCGAAGATTGGTTTGGGAGCGGAGTAGTAAACTTCTTGGTTGTAACTACCCAGAGTGTGAAGTATGGAGGCGTGACTGAACCGACTACTCTACTATTATTACGCGCGTAATATGCGGTGTGCATATGTAGGTTTGCACAAACGATAACGGCCGCGGTGAACGTGTAAAGGGAATGTACGAACCCTTAATAGGGAAGATGTCGCTAGCTGTTTGAAGTCCTCGGTAAGGATGAACCTGACATCACGGGAATCCAAGAAATGGTCACAACGTTTGAAAATTAAGCCTCTATGATGAAATATCCGAAGACAAACTGGGGCTGATCGATTTTGCCGGCACATGGTAGTCTACAGCACTAGGTTCCAGTACAAAAGAGTTCATAAGGCTACATGGCTGCTTTCCGAACGAAATATGAAAGAGCACATCGATCAAACTGTGATGTGCAGATGGCATGCGTCCACGTTTAGGTTTAAAAACCAAGGCGAATTTCAGTAAGAAAAAGCACCGCGACACAGTCACCGATGTCCAAAACATACTAAAAGTGTAGAGTGAACACTTTTCCATTCTGTTGAATAGCACTGAAAGAGTTAACTAAAAAATCTTCAAAATGACGACCAAATCGTCAACCTGGCAACACTGAGTGTTGTTATTTTTAACTCTTTCGTGATCAAAAAGATTGGCATTACCTTAGACCAATTGGAATTTTTATCAGCCGGCAAAAAAAGATTAGATTTGTAAGAAATCGACCGACAATAAGCGCCAGACTGAACTTCCCGTATATAAAAAGTATCCACCGCATATCTACAATAAAACCGCTAATGTTTAGTTATCTAACCGATAACCTAAATTGTTTTAGTTAAAGAGCTCGTTCAACGCAAATTTTAGTAAATTTATTTTTGCTTTATTGCTTCTTCTTCTAAAAACCACTTTCGTTCAATACTTAGTACACTTTGCACAACTTTTTTTTACAAGTTCTCGAAACCACTAATTCGCCTCATTTTCGATCCACTCCTTCAAGTGCACCAAATTCGTATAGACTCCAGGGTAGCCTTCGCGTCCACAGCCACTACCCCATGACACTAAGCCCACAGCAGCGCCGTTAAAAACCAACGCACTACCCGCATCTCCTTGGCAAGCATCGACAACGACGCCCGTCGCGCTCACACCGCCTGCACATAACATCGCCGCACTAATGCGTCCCCCACCATACGCCGCCTTGCATGTCGCATCGTCCAACAGATGCACTGACGCTTGCTGCAACTGGTCCGCCTGTGTACCCTGCTCTGTCGTTACGCCCCAGCCAGCCACTGTTGACGCATTGCCAGCAGCAGGCACAACCGCAGCCAAAGCGATCGGCGAAATCAACTTCGCATTATTTGTGGCAAGCGGAAATTCCAAGTGTAGCAACGCCAAATCATTATCGATAAAGAAAATATTAAAATCCGGATGTAAGTGAATCGAGTTGATGAGATAAACATAGCCATCGGTTTGTGAACTATAACTGCTGCCGGCGACAATTTGCAATTGTCGAGGCTCCAAGCCGATAACGCAGCGCGCAGTCGTAAGCACAACTTGCGTCGAGTGAATCGTGCCGGAACAACGATGGACGAAGGGTGTTGAAGCGTTGCGCTTGTAGCGCAGTGATACCAAATATGGTGCGTAGGATATGTCCACTGCAGTACCGCCAATAATACGACTTTCCACTCCATCCCCAGCTAAGACGATTGAGGCGCCGGCCAGTGCGATGCAGATACACAGGGAAAAAATGAAAATGTATAGTGGTCTAACTGTGCGTGGTGTCATTTTTAATACTTCTGTAATGCAAGAAATTCGAAATAGTACTAAGTTATCTTACAGTAAATATGGAGTGTTTAAAATCAATGTGCGCCTTGTCTATGCGTTTTATTTGGAACTTATCAGAGGTCTTCCGAGCAGCGATTGCGCTTTATCGGGCAGTCATATTGGACGTCCACCTTTACTGTTCTTGTATGTTTATTTGTTACTTACAAACACTCCCAGAATATGTTTCCGTACAGTGTTTTTTTTTTAAATACATAAGTATTTGCAATGCTTTTCGTAATAATATTTTTTTGTTCGTTAATTTTTGAAAGAAATATTGTTCATTCTGCATCAAATGGCATATAAGTTAATGATTCAAAATTTTTAGAAAATTTAGGGAAACTCGAAAAATTTTCACCAAAATTTTCAACTTTTAAACTTTTATTACACTCAAATTGAGTGAACTACAAAACTGCATACTCAAAAAAAATTCTAAAAATTTTTGTTTAAAATTTGAAAATTTTGGTGAAAATTTGTGAACTTTTCAAAATTAAAAAAAAAAAAAAACTTTGAATCATTTTGATGCAGAATGAATTATATTTCTATTAAAAATTAACGAAAAAATTTATTACGAAAAACATTGCGAATACATATTTAAAAAAAAAACCTGTACGGAAACATATTCTGGTATATCTATGCCATAAATTGAACAATACATTTTTATATACCCAACGAATATACATATGTATTCGAGATATTATTTTGTGTGGTGCTTGTTAATTTAAATACATATATGTAAAGATAAGGGAAATTCGAAGGCTATTTGTATGCTCGAATGAACGTTGTTAGTACCAAATTTGTGTAGAAATTAAAGTCTTCCTAAGGGAGTGTAAATAACACAGTGCGACAGTAAATTTTACACACAAAAAAGTAATGAATTCGCGAAACTATATGCCATATATATTACAATTATGTATTTAGTTTTTTCTCTTATGTCAGGATTTTTTAGAAGGTCTTTGAAATTTCAAAAATATGGTTAATTCAAAAAATTATTTAAAAAATTCAGTGCAATGTAGAAAAACAATGTGGGTGTCAAAAAAAAAGAGAAAATTCTGTTGCTTAAAAAAGGATAAGATTTTTGGTCAGATAGATTTTGGTAAGATTTGGGCAAATGGATATGGAAAATATACTTTTAAAATTTTGTCCCTGAATATTTAAACAGATTCCAATATTTTTTTATTATACAACTTTATTAGCTTAAAAAAAACGAATTAAAAGCGCATTTTCAATACCTATTCGTCCAAAAAACTTTAATGTTTTTAAATTCTACAGAATTTTGTCTTTTACTTGGTACCCATATTGCTATACTACATTGCACTGATATATTTAAGTAATTTTTGAATTAATCATATCTGGAAAATTTCAAAGTCATTTAAAATAAATCCTTACTTTAGAGTGAAAAACTAAAAACACAGTTTTACTATATTTGGTCCATAGTTTCGTGAGTATATTGATTATTTCGTGTGTTTTGATTTTTTTATTTTTTGTTTTTGACGCACGGTATAATAGATCGTAAAAGCATGCTTGTCGATATTAAAAAAAAAGATAAGTAGAAATATGCAGATAAATTTGTGAACAAGATCATTAATATCGATAACAACTTCGAAAGGTACATTTAATTGTAATTATAAATTGATAAATATAGCGATAAATCGATAAATATATCAATATATCAATATATGTATATCGATTAACCGATTTCTATTTCAAATTGTATCGATAATTCGATATATATCTCAAAATATATAGGATAAGCGAATTACTCAAAACATAGTTGCAAACACCTCATCGGAAGAACATGGTTGTCGACATAGATAATGATAAATATTCCGATAAATAATTGATGGAGATGTTGATAAAAATGTGAACAAGGTCATTAATATCGATAACAGCATAGACAAGAACATTAAATCGTAATTGCTAAGTTGATAACTATGCCGAAACGCCGATAAATATATCAAAACATAACGATTAACCCATAAATATGTCGAAATATATCGCTTAATCGATAAATGTCTCAAATATATATCGATTACTCGATAAACGCATCAAAAATATCTGTATGTATATCGATAGCGATATTAATAAATTGATCGGTAATGTTGCATACATAAATATAAACATAATTCTATGTATATTAGGGTGCATCAATATCCATTAAAAATAGTTGTTTTTCCACTGGAATTATAAAACTTATTATATTTTAAGGACTCCACGAAAATATTGCGGAAAAATACCTCCAAAAATCGAGTTTTGTTTATAAATAAAATTGATTTTTAAAAATTTTTTCTCAAAAAATCGCCCCAGATGTCAGAAGAGTTTAAGCTTAAAAGGTTTGTATAAGAATCCTTTAAAATTGTATTAGCGGAACCAAAATAATGAGATTTTTATAGGCATTTTCAAATTGGTTCAGCTTACGTAAATCTTAATATTCCTCCGAAATATTTTGTCGAAAGTTGTACAATATAATACATTTTATAACTCCGGTGGAAAGCCCACAACTTTTTTTTTTGAGAGGCGCCCTAATGTACATACCTACCAACGCTAAACCAACATTTTGAAGTGTTCAGGGCAACTTTTTTAGAGAGGCACTTTAATGTACATAAAAAACTCAGGACTAATGTTTGCAAGCGTTTAGCTCTTTATTAAGCTCAGAAAACTTGTAGCTGAAGAGTTTGGTGTGTAGTTCTACTCTAAGTGCGTACATTAGGGCGCCCCAGAATATATGGGGGCATTTTTGCGAAATTAGATATACCTACGCTCTTAACTTTTCCACAAATGCTGATAAGTTGACTTGAGCCTCAGTACTGGTTTTGAAGACCTTCTGGTATTTCTGAGGGATTTGATGTGGCTTCTCGATATAATACCTAAGCTTTTATTGTTGAGAACCAAGACTAACTGCTGTTGTTGTTCGATCCGTTGGCTCTTTATAGAGCAAACTCCAATTGTGCGTGGGCATGCCTGGGCTAAAATTTTGGAGCTTCGCCAATATTTCCGTCGGGTCTGTAAACGGTACTCAAGCTCTCGCCTTATCGCGATATCTCGGGCTTGACCGCATCCTTCTTCAGCTATACGAATCTAATTAATGTCGCTACAGAATACTTTGTACTCCTGTAACCAGTCAACGGCTTACATGATGGAAGTGGATCTAGCTTGTCCCCCCTCTATTGGTGCCTAGTGATATTGCTTTCTTCATTGCTTTCGACTATCACACCCATGATCTTCCGATCTATTGCAAAGTATCGAGTCCAAACTCTGTGAGATTTCGTGGTTTTCAGTACACGGCTCTTAGGAATATCCTCTTGACTTTTCCGTAAGCCCTCCCCTGATCCCTCATTTAGGTATGATGGCCAAACGACAGTCGCTATGTTGGGCTCGATGGGTGACAATGGTGATGTCTTGTAGTGCTCCACGCCCGGATCAATGACGTTGGCTTGTAACCAGCCGGCATACATGATGAGGGTGGATCCTTCGTTTCCGCGACAGTCGAGTTGACATAACCGGAACAAAACCGGATATGCATATACGTACATATCTGACCAAGGACGGTCACACTAGCTGATGCCTCGAAAACTTCTTGGGGAATTTTTATGCTATTACAACAGGATCCTACTTTCTTTCTAGCTTCCGTCCAGACTCCTTCTTGAGTTTTGGCGCCTAGTGATCTACATCTTTCCATGCGATTCGTAGTCTAAATCTTCAACTTCAAGCAATTCTCCTGAACCCACCTGTCTTTAGAGCCTCAGCTGACGTTGTTCGCCCAGTGTTGAACTGACTGCTCGATATTAGCATTGCATGACACTCGGGTTGTTGTGAAACCGCACATACTGTGCGCCTGCATTGTGCGCTTCTTTTGCGGGGGAGTGCTGTGAGCTGCTGTAGAAAATGATACTTGTAAATATATATATCGGTAACAACATGGCAATCTATATAAATTTTTATGGGATACCAGTGTTGATAAACATATCTTATATGCCTTTTCTACAGTTTATATGCCCTATAAAACTTACTCCAAATTCAATAAAAAAGTTTGCACTAATGTGTCAAAGTAAACTAATTGTATGTATGTATTTTATCAATTTATGGTTAGTAAAAAATTTCATAAACTTGTTTATTAAAAAGATTACAGATATGTGTAGAAGTTTTGCTAATCATTTTACAATTTAATAGCCTGACATTGAACCACTCACGTCTACTGGTTATCAGCGGAATTTGATAAAGTTCGGTCAACTACTTACTGCCATACCTAAACAAAAGCGTTGGGCGGAACGGTTTCTGACGCCTAGCGTTAGCGCCGAAGTGCCATACCTAAACAAAAGCGTAACACCAACAATAAGCATAGGTTTGTTTGTGTGTAACACAAAAATGACAGTTTCGCCGTTTTCTGCAGCCAACTTTAATACCTAACGCTCTGTCAAAATCGGAATTTCCAACCGCCCAGCGTTGACGCCGCGTTGTTTCGGTATGCTTCATACAAATTATATGGGCATGAGAATTTTTTGACAGCCAGACAACGCTGACGCTTTTGTTTAGGTATGGCAGTTAAAATCAGATATGTATATTGGTATACACCGCGTACGTAATTGAATTTGCGGTCAAAAATTGAAAAAAACATCTAAAGGATTAGAAAAAATAAAATAAAAGGTGGCACAAGTTTAATCCCATTCAAACAAGGTCTCCGTCAAGTAAGAAGTGTTTGTGCACTATGAGCTAAGTTGAAAAGATAACCACCTCCCAATAAAATATGAGCACCACCTATACACGATTCAGCAGTTAGGGAAGCTGTGGACTAGGTGTGACTATGGTTAGCAGGGTTTCAAAAACTATATGTGTGTAGTTTATGACAGCAGGCCTATAAAGTTTTTTTTATCTCTCAAAAGGGAAGACACTGGCAATCTATATTGTTTGGCGCCAAAGGAGTACACGAAAAGTTTTTCCAGTTTGGCAAGAAAGCTGCTAGTGTTTTTTGATAACACTGGGTAAATCTCTGCGAGCTCAAGCACCTTACCTACATATTTCGAAGTTGGTTGGTTGGTTACTAGGCGCACTGCCTGAGCACATGCCTAGGTTCCTGTTAATGCTGATAGCACCATTTTTACATGTTTTCTCTGGGATCCTCCTTGATTCGTGATTTTATCTGCTTTCATGATTCGTCGGTTTCGTCAAACTATTTGTATTTTTCGCTGTATCTATTTAGATTAGTATCTAAGGGTGCCTTTGGAGATCACCTTAAGATTTTGGATGGAAAAACTCTCGAGTGTGTCATGCCTTATTCGTGCCAATGCAGGGCACTTGCAAAGCTAGTGTAGGATCGTTTCCTTACTCTCCTCATGATTACGGCCCCATTTAAACTTCTTCATGTTCGCCAATGAGGGCAAATGTTCCGTTATCGTGGCTGTTTACTTGACTATATCTTTTCTCGACCTCTTTAGAAGTTTTTCTTTATTTATTTTGTCATATTGCGGCCATATGTTCCTCGCAATTTTTCGGGTTTGAAAGTTGTTCCAACGTGTATTAGCCATATGTACGAATTGCGAATGCAGTTCCCTTTTGATGAATCCGAGTGGAGAGTTTAAATATTGTCTCAAGAGATGTTAAGGCTTTAGGCAACTCATCAGCCCTCTCATTTCCGTGAGAAATTGTATGCTTTTCTTACTTCTACGCAGTTCAACCATTATTCTCTACAGGGCCTTGCGATTCCCAGAACTCCCGCTTGGACGATGCTAACAAAGACTTCGGTAAGCGGAACGAGACATTCAACGTCTCAGAGAACACCCCCGCGCCCACACCGCAGTCTATTGTGGACCCGTCACTGTAGATTTCAGTTGGATTCTCCTCGACTATCCTGCCCCTCCTCCAATCCTATCTAAAAGGAAACTTTACCTGAAAGTTTTTCCTGAAGTCTGTCGTAGAAGGTTTGTAATCTGATTTTTTTCCTGATTCGATAAGCTTGTTAAGAATACACTATGGATGTGCCGCAGCGCCCTCCAGCAGTAATAGCCGAATCCTAATTTTCTGATGTTCATGTGTAATTTAATCTCAAAGTACTCAAAAGCTTTCAAGATCCCCATTCAAGGTTGAAAAGTTAACTACCATATTAATTTGGTTATGTAAGGCAGGCAATAAAGAAGATAAATTAAGATTTTGCGTAGCATTTTTTCTGTGTTTTGTAAATAACTATTGTGGTCGTTTTTGGAGGGTACTCCACGTATTTGACCTGGGTGACTTCTGGTTTACTTCCAACTTAATAGCCCTTTAAGGGCCGTTTTGTCGAATAGATTTTAAAATTTAACTGCACTTTAAACGCAAATTTCGTTTTGATAAAATGTGTTTGAAGATAAGATAAATTTTATAAGGTACTGGAAAAAAAGGCACTAAGTATTTAGAAATGACCTCTTGCAGAGCAGTACACAATTAAGAATGAACGATATCTGAAGAAAGATGAAGTATATTTCCTTGATAACAGAACCACTAAAAAATATCAGTGAAAAGTACGCAGTACTTTCTCCAAAAGAAACCTGGAACTTTAAATATGGCAAGATTATGTACAATTTCTACACTGAGCCAAAAGTACAATGGTTTTTCCAACCAAGTTATTGTTTGATTCTTTTATGGTAAATACACCGAGTGTAAGAAATGGGATCCAAGTTCAACATTTGAAAACAGTTTTGTATATCTGGCTCTTGCTAAACGTGCAGAGATGCTTGCTATTAATTGTTAGCATCCAGAAGGTTCGGGTTCAAATGCCGTCAGGGGCGACATGCAATTTTTTGTTTATTGGTTTTCTTAATTACGAAAAAGCATCTGCGAAGTGCAGAACATGACAAAACGGCGAAGAAAATTTATCCAAGTTCAACATTTGAGGACATAAATATTTACAGAACGGCTGTAGGTGAGTGTCCAGAGAGATGCTTGCTATTATTTGCTAACTTCCTGAAGTTCTGGGATCAAATCGCGTTAGAGGCAAGGTCTTGAAATTATAATAAAAACGTTGGTTTTGTATCTTCGAATTTTTGAAAAAGCATCTATGAAGTGCTGAACATAAGCGTATTCCAACGAAAAAATCGGCAATCAAAAATTTGTTTAATCCAAACGGCAGTGTGGTAAACATTACCAAATCATTGTTGAAAATATAATATCCATGGCATTGTTAATATTAACCAAAAACCACTTTGATTCCTTTTCAAGTTTGAATTTGGTAATATTCACCAATTTTTTGTTGATTTTTTTTTTCAGTGCATGCTTTTGGTAGATATAGGGTGGTATGCAGCTCTTAAGAAATCGGTCAAGGAAAATTTGCCATTATTTCGTGTGTGTGTCCAAGGAATTTTGACATTTTTGATACTGCACAGCCTGTTGCCTCACTCTTTCCTCAAGAGTTGCCTTGTGCTCTTTTTTCACAAAAAACTTTAGAAAACCGTAGTAAAAAGTGTAGCAAATTTCTTAAGAACTGCGTACTGTCTGAAGGAAATTTGACTCAAGAAAATTTCTTAGCCATTTCTTGTATGTCATTTTGTATGGAATTTTTAGCTTTTCTTGAGAACTGCATACAGGCCTTAAACCACTAATGTATTGAAAAAAATTATAGGTATACACACAGTGAGTATTTGCTTAGTTGATCAAAGCCTACCTTAGATAGGTAAAGTTTATTAAGAGTAGTCTATTAAAGCGCAGTTAGTCAACGACGTAGCGTAAACGTAGGTTGACATACGTAGCAGCATATCAAATTTACTGTAGGTAGATCGTGTCTGCGTCAACCTACGTCGACGTTACGTCGTTGACTGTTTGAGCTTTTATACTCTTCTCTAGTACCTTGTCAACGGCGCAGCTTTCTGAAATATATTCGTAACTACGAAGTTCGCTGCAAGTGAATAAATCAATACGAAAAGGCCGAACTTGGTAGAAGATATTTTCTTCAAGGGAAATAACAAAGACAAAACTTTATATTTTAATATTCAATATGTACTTTTTTACTTGCAAACATACATACATATGTATGTATAAAAATATTTACAATTTCAAACGCATGATTTCACATCAAATGTGTTCTCCGTATGTCCATTCAATTTTCCCTCAAAAACGTAGCATCGATCGCGGCGATCTTTTCACGCAACCATGGCAACAAATGTGTTACGTTCGAGTACACCCCCGGATATCTATAATCTGCACAACCATAACCCCATGAAACCACCCCGGCCAATTTGCCATTGACTAACAGTGGACCACCGGAATCACCCTGACAGGCATCCTTGCCGCCAACACCGCGTACGCCAGCGCACAGCATAGAATCCGTAATTAGACCGGCAGAGCCATAATCCTGATCACACAGTTCATTGCTGACAATCGGCACTTTAACCTCCTGCAATAGATTTGGACTGGACCCACCCTGTACGAGTGCACCCCAGCCGGTAACAGTTGCCGTAGCACCATTCAATGAAGGTAGGTCTGCCAACTCCACTGGTTTGATGGTGAAATTATTGATCGGCAGTGGCGTAGCTAGTACTAGCAGAGCGATGTCATTGTCGGTGGTGCTTGGGTTGTAGTTCTCATTCATGATGATCTCTTTGACGACGGAAATGATGCCGTCGGCGCCACGTCGATGATTTGTGCCGGCAACAACTTGATATTCACTAGCCACCCTAGCTATGACGCAATGTGCTGCTGTGACAATTGTGTACGCCGATACAATTGAACCACCACAGTTATGCGAGTATGAGTTCGTTGGATATAGAAGGCTCTTCAAGCGCAAAGTAACTTGATGTGGATGTACCGAAATGTCTATGGTGTTGCCGCCGACAATACGTCCTTCTGCAGTGGTATCTGCCGAGGTATCTGCTTCGCTATGTGGCGCGCACAAAGTTGTGCCTGCCAGGGCCAATGCCAAGATCGTACCGAAAATGGTAATGAATTTCATCGCGTGGCGGTAGAGATGATGAGCACACAAGGTGGACTTAATTCGATGTGGACTAGTCGGTCAGATTGTTGACCATAGACTAACTTGCATACGTATGGTTAAACTCTAGTGAACTACTAGGCGAGAGATTGCAAATACACTGATAAGGTCAGGACTTCTTTAAATAAAATAGTTTTGTACTGATCGCCTTATCGCCATTATCGCACCGTCAAGGTACAAGTCTAGATATATAATTTTTTATTATCGTTGGATTTTACGTTAATTATGAAATACCAATTACCCGTATATGGTTTATGATTCAACCGCTGATAAAACAGTATCTGACCATCACATTGGCTAGTAGTTGTATAATATAGTAGCTAATGCTACTAATTCATAAATATATTTACTATATATATTATAGGGGTATTCATCTAAACGCGTAAATGCCTTGTAACCCCGTAAACTTACTTAATTTTATATGGAAAACCGGTTTATTTACGAGGTTGACGCGGTTACGAGGCATCTAAATATTAAAATGAATACCCATTCCATGTTATCGCAATAGGTATTCACATTACGTATATATGGAAACGAACGATTCAGTATTCGGAAAAGTATGTATGCACACTAGGGTGGTCCAAAAATGCATGTGAAAAAGTAAAGTCGGAATTTTTATGCTCTCACCCCCTAGGATTGTTCTATACCGAAAAAAATTATACGTTTATTATTTTTAAATCAAAAAATATTTAGAGGTCGCTCAAAGCGCTTCAAGTTTTGCATGTATTTTTATATGGGGAAAAAAACAACTTTTCGAAGAAAGAGCATAGAAATCTTAAAAATCAATATTTTTCTGTATCTCTGCAAGAGATTCCCGGTAATAAATTCTAATTTATTTTAAGCATCTTTTTATCGCAACTACCTATAATTTATAGGTCCGCTAAAACCCCACTAAAACCCCGAAAAATGCGATGAGGAGACTTGAAGTATTGCAAAATCTTTTCGGTTGAATAATTGTTATCCTGAAGTAAGTGTCGAGCGAAAGTTTCAAATTGCTGTAGCTTCGCCGAAACTCGAGATGTGCTGCCATTTATAATGAAATATCGTAAAATGGGCAATTTGCCACGCTCTCCACCCTCATGGGAGGAAACATTAAATTTCATCCGAGTTCGATGAAATTTAATTTGTGCTCTCTCTTTTATTATAAGGACCTAAATATAAAACATGGGGAAGAATGGATCATGTGATGGAATTTTGATTAATTACATTTTTTTGGCTTTCCACGCTCAGAAATACAAAGGCTATACATAATTTAAAATTACATAGGTGTAAATATTCTTAATTTTCCCAATTTTTGGGGTGATTTTTCCATTGCTCGAAAAATTCTTTTCACGTAATTACGCAAAAAAACGGAAAATCGAAATATTAGGAAAATCGAAAACTACATACTTATGTATATTTGCAATTATAAGCTCGGAATTACATGAAATTCTCTAAAACATGCGTCAGGACCTGACGGACCGGAACTCACTTTTATAAGTAAAATAGAAAAATACCAAATTAATGTACACAGGGCTTTTATTTACCTTTCAGCAAAAGCTGGAGCAAATGTTTGCTATAATTTTTAAAAAAAATCTATGGTAAAGTTTCCCTAGCCCATATGATTTGCCTCTGCTAAGAAATAGTTTTTCGCATTTTCTGACAAACGTGTAATTTTGAGTTGTGTCACCTTTGAAGATCGTCGAATTGATAAATATCTACCTTCACGTGAATAATTCATGACACTTAAAGAACTGATTAGAGTTGAAAAAGCACCACTTTATTTTATGGGCTCAGCGCCAAACGCACCTAAACTGATTTGTCAATATTTCGCCGATTCTAGTAAATAGTTCTTTGGAAATCTGCTGTTCGCAGAGATTTATGATTTTTACTTTTCTCTCTCTAAGCCCAACAGGTTTCTTTTATCAACTGTCGCCATGACTTTTTTCCACCTGCCTTCATATACTCAAAATAATTAAGTAAACTTTAGGGCTGGGAGTTCCATCCGGATTTTTTGAATATCCAGATAATCCGGATATTCGAATATCTGCTTAAAAAACCCGAATATCCGATTAATATCGCACAACTGTAATATTTGTTACAAGGTCGTGTAGAGCTAACTCATAGAACTTTCCTCTCTGGTATTCATGTTGGCGAGCTCTAAGGGAATATCCACCCAAACCTTTTATCTAATGCAAGATAGACCCTAAAAACTTTTATTAGAACCCTTGTCTCCTGTACACTTTGGCATCTTCTAATATACGCCATCTAGCTCAGGTGATTTAAAGTCGTCCAAAAAGGCTAGAGAAAAGTTTACTTGCTCCTCAACCACACCAGCCATACTCCTAGGCACCAGTTTAGTGTGACCGCTCTTCCCGCCGCGATATCCACTTTCATATATCCGCCTGCGTCAGGAATTAACCTGTTACGCGGAGAAAGGATCCCAAAGAGTGTGTTGTAATTGTTTAGCAGCAGCCATTATTCCGTACAACGATTCCAACTTTTTGACACTGCATAAGTGCACTTACAATGTACCAGTAAAAATTCAATCATCAGATTTGTAAGTTTCACCAATTCAAAAGACCAAATAACTATAACCCAAATCGTGTTCCTATGTTTTGTGTATTAGCGTCACTACCCAGAGCAGAACTCTCTTAGGATCGTGTACACCTTAGATTTAAACCATGAAAAAAATAGCTAAATATGCATGTAAATAATATCATTTTTTAAGTAACTGTTTTTAAAGAAATGTCCACAAATGTTCTATTTTACAATTTAAATTCCTAGAGGCAGTAGTACCATATTTTTACACATACTTAGCTATCTTATCATAACCAACCAAAATACGTTTTGTATAGAAAGTAATACTTTTAAGTTAGCTGGCACTGAGCTGTGAGTGTTCTCATATACATACAGTAAAATTATTTGCATACCGCATTTATCACTTGCACTTCTCGCTAAAAAAAATAGTGTTTTTAATTTTCCTGCAATAATGCCGATTCCACCGATTCAATCATCTCGTGCAACCATTGCCGCAAACTCCACACATTCGCGTATACGCCCGGATATTGCGGATCTCCGCAACCAAAACCCCATGACACCACCCCAGCCAACTTGCCATGAACCAACAGCGGGCCACCCGAATCCATTTGACAAGAGTCCTTACCACCTACATCCAATAAACCAGCACACAACATGGACTCATCAATCATGCCAGGGTAACGCAATTTGCAAATCTCATTTCCCACAATGGGCACCTTCGTCTCACGCAACAAATCGGAAGCAGCGCCACTCTCTGTTGTTAAACCCCAACCGGTTATTGTGGCAATGTTGTCGTGCTGCGGTTCTTTCTCCGTCAACTCGATCGCTTTAATGGTGTAATTGTTTAACGGTAGTGCCGCCGCAAGCACCAACAATGAAATGTCATTAACAGCTGTGTAGGGATCGTAGCGTTCGTGTATTATAATCTCTTGTATGGGAATAATTATGCCTTCAGTGCCGTTACGTTGGTTTGCACCCGCAACAACTTTGAACTGACTAGGCACTTCGCCATCAACGCAGTGTGCTGCCGTGATAACAATACGCTCCGAATAGATACTACCACCGCATAGATGGTCGTAGGATTGTTCCGGATGCAAAATGTCCTTTTCACGCAAACTGATCTGATGTGGGTAACTAGTTATATCTACCACTCGGCCGCCCACAATTCGTGGATCCATTGGCTGGTTTAATTTATAGATTGAGCGCGATTCAGGCCTTGCTGCTGCGGAGGACTTACAATTAGTTAGAATAATTAACGCGATAAACGTAAAAAATATATAGTAAAAGTGGTATGGCATAGTTGACTCTTAGAAGTACCAAAGGCTACTGGCGTGATGAAAATCGAAATTTTGATAGTTTGCTTGCATCACAGTTTTAAGATATCTTACTTTAATTTATTTTTTAATTATGAGAGTACTTATGAAAACTAGCACAACTTGAAAATTGGACATTGTTAAGTGATAATGTTCAGTGTTAACATAAGTGTTTGCTGCTAAGTTATCTCTTTTGATTTTTCTTTCGATGTTGACGGTATAAAAACATTGTTGTATTCAAAAGCTCTTTTATAAAATAGAAGATCGGAGTTATCTGTTTTATTTATAGGTACAGTGAAACCCGCTTAAGTAACCAATATTTTTGGGCACCGTGAATTTTTCATGTAATCTGAAGAAAATCCCTCTCTTAAGTACCTCCCCGCCTATTACCCAACCCGCTAAGTAGTTAAATTTTTCGTACCCCATTTACCGTTTTAGTTCTAATTTTCCCCTTTTAAGTGCTCTTCTTAAATTTCTTAAGATATTTACATATTTGAGATTCAGGGACAGCGCTACATCATATTACAGCGCTATATCATATTGATTGCTACCGTTAGTATAACAACATGCAAGTTTCAACTCGGACTAAACGAAAGTGCTCGGAAGTAGACTCGGACTAAAATTACGGCTGCTTTTCAAATAACGGTAAATTTCAGAAATACTCGAAACTTCAATATTTCGAAATTTAAAGACGCTAAATTACTCAAAATTTATACTTAAAACAATCCCTTGAAAAGAAGTAACATTGTTTGGAATTTTGGAAAATGGGCGTGATATCGCCCACATATGACTATATAAGTTTATCTCATTATGTCTAACTGAACGTTCTATCATAGATGTTTAAAATAGGGGTAAAACCACCCCGGCTTACCATGTAGCGGTAGTTTTCGTAAAGGTGGAAAACATATATTTAATACTTGCGCCGGGTATTTAATGTTCGGCCCCGCCAGAACTTAGACTTTCTTACTTGTTTTGGTTAAAATTAAAAAAATAATGATTATTTTTCGTCCCTGCCTAGAAGTAAAACGAGTTGGTTAGATTCCCTTAGATCGGCGAGGTAGACAAAAAGGTGGTGATGAAATGAGAGTCTTCTGGCTCACATGAGGGCGGGGCAGGAACAGAGGTAGTGCTCCACACCGGCCGGCAAACCAATTCTGCCAGCATGCCTTCCCATTAAGCAGTGGCCCGATATATGTATGTCCTGAGCCATATCTTACGGGTAGATAGGGGTATGCCCGCTGCATGAGAGGAGTTGACGTCAGACCGGGTGGTTCTCTTCCTCGCAAGCTCGTCCGCCCCACAATTACCTTGAATGTCCCTGTGGCCAGGCACCCACACGACGTCAGTAGTCGATTTTGAAGCTAGATCATTAAAGACTTTTCTACATTCTATCGTAGTTATAGATGAGGTCTTGCAGCCATCCAGTGACCTGACAACCGCTTGGCTATCGAAGTATGTACTTACTGAAGGCACATTAAGGGAATATTCAACAAGCCAGAGTTCAGGCCATGGACGTAGCCAGGTAGGTGCAGGGGGGTGCTCGAGCCTTCCCCCCCCTACCTTTAAAATTTTCCTTGTATATATATAAAGTAGTACCCTGAAATGCCAGCTTAATAGGGTCGAGCCGCCCCCCCCCCTAAATTTCATTCTGGCTACGCCGATGGTTCAGGCTCTTATATATGTTGGTTCTTCGAGTGTATTCCGCTCCCTACTCTCACACCAAGTCGTCCACCCGGTTCTTCCTCGAAGGGATGCGAGTGAAGAACTTATTATCGAGCTCCATCGGTGGTGTTATATAATCTGGGGACCTGAAAGGGTCCGGGTCGTTGGTTAGAATATTGATGTGACCGATCTGGTGTATTTCCATTTTGAAAGTGCATTTATTACTACTGCATTATAGCTGGCCTGTAGCTTCCCAAAAGGTCTACGGGCGGAAAGTTTAGGAGTGTTTCCATAGCTTTTGTGGGTGTGGATGGCAGCGCACCTATGAACCTTGCATGCCGCCTTATGAACCTTGGTGAGGTGAGCGATTTATGCAGTGATTTCCACCAGACTATGACACCGTAGAATAATATAAGACGTACCACTGCTGTGTAAATCAAGTGAACTATGTATTTGCGGTTTGAGACCCCATTTCGTACGTTACGTTTCCAGGTCAGTTTGCTATCCAAGATGACGCCCAAGTATTTCACTTCATTAGAGAGCTACAGCGCTACGCCCTTTGTTGACGTCAGAGAGAAAAATTAAAAACGCAGTTATACTGTCAAACAAATTACTTTGAATTATTTAACAATCAGATCCACACCGATCTTTCGATTTTTAAAATTTACCACCTGCTTTTGTTTGCTTATACACAAGTTATATGAAATATCAAAATATGGATGTGTTGAGAAATCTTAAGTTTGAACGCTAAGAATATTTTTGAGGTGTTGGAAAAGGGTTGCCACCTGTTTAAAAAGTAAAATTCAAATTATTGAATAAGTTAAATGAATTATTAAAATATGGGTATGAATCGAAAGGGGTTTGAAATTTTTTTTTATTTCTGAACTGTATTTAGCAGGGTTGCCGCATGCTTGAAAAATCTAAATGGCGCAGAAACGAGGACGACGTCGAACAAAGATAATTAATTAATTAATTAATCCCAACGGCTTTTTACCCTCCATTCCCGCCCAACCGACACGAGGGGCGCAGTCCGCATGACGTACGGAAACTTTTTTTTTTTTGTTTTTTTTTAGTTTTTTCGTGCCGAGTAGTGGAAACAAGAGTTTGTTAAGTGTCGAGATCTAAAACTATTCAGCTACAGAATCAAATTCATCAGCTGATTGGATATGCTAAAGATAGTATTTCAATTATTGAGAGTGGAAATAATAGTTTTCTTTATAGTAAAAATCGAGTCCGATACGTCAAACGTGCTGGAATGACAGTTAAAATCTTGAC